CTCCTTCTCTAAATTTAATACGAGTTGCGTGCAAATGAGTATCATTACGTAATAAACATACTATAATTATGTAAAATGAGATTACAACTACTTAATTAAAAGCTCGATGAATAAAATTTTAAGTGTACAGAACCAATTTTTAAATACCATTATCAATACATTTCTGCAGCGAAAGGAAAAAAAAAATCAAATTTATTCTTTTATAGTCGCTAATGGGTAAAAAATGTTGCAATTTTTTTGCAAATGATTGGAAAATAGTCGCTTTTGCCTATATTTTTTTCAAAAACAGTCACCATAGTAGTCTTCTAGTAAAATAATCACTTTTTTAATTGCCAATGACAGCCTTGGTTTAATGATACGAGAGTCGGAAATGACCAAAACTGAGTCAAAAATTAAAGTAAACACTTATGACAATGATACACACACACACACAAAAAAGCAAAAACATAATATACAAGACAGTTTGTATAGATTTTGTATAAATTTTTCTTAAAAGCTTTAATCAAGAATTTTCATAATATGTAGACAGTTTATAGATCTAAATTTTTCATTGAGTGCAAGAGAAAAATGAGGACTGGATAGAGTTAATATATTTTTGTATTCTAGTGTACAATTGAGTCTAGTGTGAAACTTACACTATTAACATATCCAAGAAATCGAACAAAACAACTTGATTTCTTGTTCATTTTATAAAAAATTCCACGCACATAGAGAGAAAAAAAAAAAACAATCACAGATAACACATTTAATTTGAACAGCTTTTACACATTGCAAAGGGGGGAAAAATTAAAGATACAATAAGATCTACAATATTGTTATATAAAAAGATTTGAAAATGAAAGTATAACAAAAAACATTCAATAACACAAAAAAGAAAAGTCATAAATATTTCTTTTGTATGATTGCACAAAAAATTTAAACATAAATAATATATTTACAATAAAACATGCTAATAATGTTTACAACATCAAACATAACTTTGAGGTACACATGTTTAGATTAAATTAGCATGCAAGGCTATTTGAATATGTTTCCTTTATATATTAGTAGATGTGTTAGGATGTCCTTTAGTAATGTCTCTTTAAGAAAGTGTCTTCTAATAAAGATAAAAGTCAAAAACTATAAAAAATTAAGATATATGGGAAAAGTTCCCCAGTTGATTAAGAATTTATTTGTAATTCAATAAGGTTGTTACTAAAATTAAATTTCATAAGAATTTTTAAAGTTTTACTCTAAGATTTCAAAGATTTATATTATTCAAAGATTTGGAAAGACGAAAGAAATAGACTAAAATAACATAAAAGGGAAATAAATAAATTTTTTCCTACAGAAAATTTAACATGGATGTGGTTTTTTTATTTTCAAATGCTATTTTCTATTTTTAATCTTAAATTAATTTTTATCACCTCTCAAAGATTTAACAACTTATATTCTTTATAAATAGAACAGGCACCTTAAATTTAAGAGATTTCCTCCTCTGTGTTAGAGTGGTTTTGACAAATTTTGCCTTTACTCCATGTAAGTACAATGCAATTTTTTTGGTGAACCAAATTGTCATGGTTAAAAAAGCATTATTTATTTATATATATATATATATATATAACCGTCATCACAATTTTGTATTTACGACTACTGATGTTCAAACTCCGTAGTCTTGTGAATTTGAACCAATCCAGAAGACAAGGAAACTCCTGGATCAGTAGCCCCAGAGGTATGATTTGTTATGGGAACACGGAGGACTTTGAGTCTCGACAGATCTAAAGCGCATCAGGTCGGCGGGGATCGAACCCACGACCTCTTAGACATGGGCCCAGTGCCCTGGCAACCAGGCTATCTCGGCCTATTCGTCAAAACCATGGAAACAGAGAGAGAGGGGGGAATTACATAACCTTGAGACTTCTATGCTATAGCAAAGAGTATAATTCCAAGCCACGCACAAGCAGACAAATTGTTCGAACTTAGAACCAACATTATTAAAAAAAGAAAGAAAAAAAGTAGTATTAACCCTTTAAGTATTAGTCCCGCTTTTTCCAAACTTTCAGCTGCAGGTTTTCCAGTACCAAGAAACTGGTTTCCCCCATGTTATTTAATGGGCGAGTAGCGACAAGTAGGAAACTTTCAGTACAATTCCATCCAAAGAGTTCGGAGGGTTAATAGTTTTAAAATTTTGTTATTTAATTAGCTATTTTGTTCTATAAGAACAATTATGCTTCAAAATTTTATTTTTATAAACTGTAAAACAGCAAATATACATACACATACAGTCAAGCCCCGCTATAGTGAACACGGTTTATAGTGAACTTCAGGATATAGTGAACGAAATGTTTGGTCCTGTGCCTTGCTATTCACGTATAATGCATATTTTTGTGGATATAGTGAGCCAAAAAAGTGAGGAAGTTGGATATAATGAACTTTTTTCTGTCTTCAACTGATAGAGGGGAATGTAGCGATAAGCATTTTNACCAAAAAAGTGAGGAAGTTGGATATAATGAACTTTTTTCTGTCTTCAACTGATTTTTTTCTTCATTTTTTTTGTAATAATTTTGAAATTTCTACGCCAAAATAAATACATACACCGATTTTTTAAACCATCTATAGAGGGGAATGTAGCGATAAGCATTTTTTCTTGTTTGCTTCCTTTACCTCACTTTCCCATCCCTAAACAAACAAAGCAGATGTTTCCAATCCAGGCAGATGATGATGCACCTGTAAGGTGTCAGTGGGATCAACATGCATTTTTTGTCATAGGGAATGAGTCATTATTGGTCAAAGGGTTGGACACTAATATGTGTTCATAAGGCTCTCATTTCAACTTCCTTTTGCTCTCAGTACAGTTCAAAAAAGCCTGCAAACAAGTTTCTCAAATTTAACTATGAGCAGTAAACGTAAAACGTTCTTCATTGATGATAAAATGGGCATAATCAGAAAAATTGAAAATGGATGCAATCAAGCTGAGTTTTCCAGAGAATATAAACTATCCAAATCTAGTTTGTAACATATGAAAAAATAGGCAGTTAATAATTTCTGCTCATGAAAAAAATTTTGATGTCAGAAAAAAGTTGCGAAAAGCAGATCACAAGGATGTTGAAGAACCATTACTGAAGAGGTTCAGCATCAGAAGAAGCAGCAATCTCATAGTACTTAAACAAATGTCGATGAATTTGCTAAGCGATTTTGTGAGACTACTTTTATGTGCTAAAATATAACAGGTTTAAAAAGCGGAATAACAGAAATTCAGGAAAAATTATCTGAGAGTCGGGAAATGTTTCCATATCTGATGTTGAGGATTGCTCATCAGCTAGAGATTACTAATTTCTTTTTTGTACACAAGAAGAAGAGTAATAAAAAAATAACCCCTTTTTGCTACTACCTAATATTTTTCAGTCATTTATTTGAATAATTGAAAGGGAGGATTTAAGGAACCATTAGTTAAATTACCTGTCTAACAGTTACAGTGAACCAAAATTTCGGTCCCTTGAAGGCTCACTATAGCGGGGTTTGACTGTATGTGTATATATATATATATATATATTAATCATAAAATAAGAATTTGCAATAAAACTTAGGTTAGGCCAAAACTATTTTTATTAAAGATCTTATAAGATTAACACGATTCAAATATTTTGTTGAACTATTACAGAGATCAGATTTTTTAAATTAGAATCTTACAAGATTAACATTTAACTGTCCCTAATAAGAATTTTTGTTAACTAGTAAAATTGCAAATATTAAATAACTGAGTAATAAAAAGTTATTATTATTACAATAAACAAAAAAGAACAAAATACAATAGAGAGACAGAATATAAGAGTTTTGCGGAATAAAAGAAGACATTAATTAACCAGTAATAAATATAAATAAATAGATAAAGAAAAAAAAATTTCCTTTATTATTTCAACCATATGTATTTCTATTATCAATCTTTTAGATAAGGTACTCAGTGTGTACACAACTGCTTTTTTAGTGAACTTATAATAACCATAATCAAATAGTTAAAATAAATTTCAAAAATTTCTCAGAAAAAATCCATATACTCAATCACCTAACATATATTTATTTAGTTAGTCATAGAACTTGAAAATGTTATAGGCAGTGTAAAAAATGGCATGATTGATGCCAGGTTAAAATTCATTAAGTTGATGCTAGTAACACAGTGAGTTTCTAAAATTAATATTTCATGCAGTGGAATAACAGAAATTCAAAGTAAAAACTAATAATTAAGAGAAAAAAAGGACAACCCTGACTTTTTTTAAGACAAAATAAAATTTTTTGATAACTTTAGGTTTCCCAGATAACCTGAGAGCCATATACAGTATACTCTCAATATCTCCAAGTTGAAGGGTTGTTAAAAAGACTTCGAGATAACAAGTTCAGAGCTAAATATGTTCTAAAAAGTAGAAGAATAAATTCTAAGAAATATTACTCTAAAATGTTGATACATGAAACATAAGAGCAAGAATAAGCAAACTACAAATAAATATGTAATGATAATAGAATTTAAGTCTAAATGCAACAATGATAATTTTTATTTAAAAAAAAAAATAATTATGTATTAAATGGATAAGAATTGGTTTACAATGAACTTACATTGTGATTTTACTGAAAAAATTTAATTTCTATTTCGAAAAAAATTCAACATAACACAACAGGGTTTTGAGATGAAACTCTTAGACATAGGAATTCAAATTAACATTAGGTTGATATATAATGCCAAGGGTAAAAAATATTTTTTTGACATAACAAGGTTTTCGAGATATCAAGAGTATACATTACTTAATAGAAAAATATTGCTAATAAAGTAAATTATTTAGCAGGGAATAATACATAATAAGTTATCCATCCACATATTAAGTAAATATATAAATAAAAACTATGAACAACACAAGTTAATAAATTGAGATTTAATAATTTGTAAATAAATATTACTTTTTTTCACAACTAAAAGGATAAAAAAAGAATAATAAATATAGAAAAAATAATTTTCACACAAAAAAAAGAAAGAAAAACATACTTAATAATAATTTAAACCCCTTTACGTAACATTTTGAAATTTCCACAACTCCACTGCAATTACATATTCATAACTTTTTAAGGATACTAACATTAACATTTGCTCTTCGAATACCATAATTTTTAATTTCAGAAATAAGAGAAGTAGTATCGCGAAGAAGAAAAAAAACTTTTAAGGAAGAAAAACAATTGTCTTGGCATCTATTAAGGAACCTCAGAAATGTGCTAAGCTCATCATAAGATAACATCACCAGTTATTGATAATATACAGATCGCTGCCAATGACTAGTATTTGCACAAGAGGAGCACATCATCATCTCTCACCATTTATAAAATAATTATTAAATAAAATCTCAATTAGCTAAAGTGAGATTTTTGTAAGTGGTAATAATATTTCACATCTAATATTCAAAATAAAACAAAAGTATTACTCAAATTTTTGTTTCTCAAACTGGCAATACTAGATTTCTTTGTAGTATTAAAACTGAAATCATGATATAAATTCCCTCTCTAATGTCTTCAGAAACTACGTAAGACAAAGGCACCTTATGAAGTCATGGCCTGTCAATAAGATCAGGGGGGGGGGATCTAGTTCCCTCTTGCTCGAGATGTCTAGCGCATCTCGACACAGAAATAAATATGCACTGCATATTTAACACACTGTAACCAATTTGAGTGCTTTATAACTCCACTGAATCTGTCCCTGGAGTCATACGTGACAAATTTCTGTCAGCTGCCTGGGAGGGATGAGCGTGTAGGTGACGGGTCGAGGGTCATCCAGACTGTCAGAATTGGCAACAGCATTGATGCCGTTGCTTCCAAAAGTTGCAGAGTCACTAAGTTCACCATTAAAAGGACGAAAGGCTGTGAGATTAACTAAAGTAGTCGAAGAAGTCTTGCTGGCCGTAGCGGCGGCTACGTTGCCAGAACTAGTTCTAGTGAAAGAAGCACTACTTCTTCCGAGACTACCGACATTACTGCCACGACCCACGCTACTTGTAGCACTGGTACGGCCAGTGCTCCTGGCAACATCACTAGCTGCATCACCAGAATGGCTGCCTGAACGTGAACCACTTTGGCCACTCGAATGACTGCCTCGACCTAAAAATATAAAGAACAAAACACATTAAATAAATAAGAGCAACAATGTAGTTAATGGACAGCCAATCTTTTTGATACTGTGGGTAAGAGTCGAAATCGACGACATTCGTCTATCGAAAGGTACCCCGAGATTGAGTACAGTTAGCATGCCTTATATACTAGTAAATTTATGTTTAATAATTATAGTGGTAATTAGGCCACAATACTCCCATAGCAGAATTTTATCATGGATAAAATTCGATGAACGGCTACTACTAGTTACCGCATTGCGAAAGACCGGAAGAGCTTCAGTAAGTTCACTAGATTTTGAGTGCCTGTGGTGAGAGTTGTATTAAGCTCAGAGTTTTAAGCATTCGTCGTGAAAGTTGTATTATCATGGTTGTGTGTGTGTGGTCCCTCCTGTCTTGGTGTTATAACTCGAGTGTGTGCAGGATCCTAACATGTGCAAATGAAACTGAGAAGCAACAGAGTGAGGATTGTAGTAGTCATAGAAATCGATGTCAACTTTCATCGATTAATAGGTAATAATTTTGAATATAGAATTTTGTAAGCTTAGCTTGAATAGTTATGGAGATACGGACAGTTACATTAAAATAAAAAAAACTAATTTTGTGTCAGTTTTCTTTTTCCCCTTCCTATAACTCTAAAATTATTCAATAATGTTAAAAAAAAGTTTGTTAAAAATTAAACAACATATCAGCATTTAAATTAATACTTTCATACTATGCATTCCATAAAAGTATAAAAAATTTTAAACATTTTAGAGAATTGTATTTGGTAATCAATGAAAAAGTATGATTTTCAAAATATTCAAGCAAAGGAAATTAAGCACTTTTTTACAAATATTCGAAGAAAAAAGCATCTTTGAGGGCTTTTAAAATACAAAAATAAAAAAAAGCTCCCTTGAGCATTTTTTAAAAATGTTATGCACCTTGATTTGATCAAAATTTGGACCTGGATGGAAAAAAAAAAAGCAATTGTTAGTTTGACAAACTTGTTTTGTTTTAACTTTAACAATGCCAGTCTCAATCACTTGTCTAATCAATGTTAGTTTAAAGTGAAACTACATAATTTTTATTTTGAACTAAGTAGTGGTGAATTTAACAGATCAAACTATTACAATGACGCTCACAAGTAAACTGCTAAACAACTAATTTGGTTACTAGTTTTATAATTTTACCCTGACTGATAAATTTTAACGTTGGCATACATTTGTCACAGTTGGCGTGAAAGGGTCAATGCACCCATTTTAATGCTGCAGACAAAACCTCTTGAAAGTAAAAACATATATATGTATATAATTATTAAAATGCATTTTGATTCATTAAAAAGGTGAAGGAAAATAGCTCCTTTGAAAAACTCAAGAGCTGGGTAACAGTATTCATATGAACTAAGTTCTTACCTCGATTTGGCACGCCCTCGACAGCCGAGACGGGTCCGACTGTTCCAGAATCTCGGATTATACCTTCATCACTACAGTTAGCAGTACCTCCACTGGAACACCCTTCACCGCACCTTGTACGTAACCTTAACAAGATATTTAAAATAGTTTAAGTTCTTCTTTATTACTTTAAGTAAAAGAAAGTAAATTTTTGAAAATTGTTAAACACTACAGTGTTGATAATTCATGTTTTATTTGAGCTTTTTCATACTTAAATATCAGAATAAATAAATAAAACAAATAACAAGGTCTTATTGTCTTCTAACTGGTTTTATTACTGCTTCGAAATGACTACCATTTTATGCAATTCCATTCAAGATCCGTTAAAAGCTATACTTTGGGTTCATTTCTTTCCTCTATTTTTATAAAATTAGAAAGGATCAGAAGCACGTGCAAGGTCTTAAAACACTCTTTTTGCCTTCTGCAAACAAAAACAGAGGTTGCTGTTGAGCAATGAAGCACTGACACGATGTGTATTCGCCTGAGCAAACAAAAAATATGAATGACTAATAGGTCATGAAAGAGATAAGTTATCTTCAAAGTAGTTCAATAAAATAAGCTTTTACTTAAATTAATGCAAACATAATTTTTTTGAAACGCACTTTTATTGAAAATTTTTTCTCGACATTTTTATACTACACTTTATACTTACAAATTGCTCAATAACTTTGATATGAACATAGTTTAAGATAAGTGGCAATTAATAAAAAAAATTTAAATCACAAGCTTTTTTCCTACATATTCAGGAAAAAATCAAACAGCAGTTTGCATTATTTTAATACATATTAAATATGGGACTTCTCATGTAACAGGAAAAATTCATGTAATATGAAATATTACATTATTTTTTACCAAGTTGAAGTAAAACCTTTCTTGAAGATGAGTCAAGAGTTCTTTAATAGAGAAGTCAAAAGTGAATAACATTATTTTTGAGTTAATTCTTGAGAAAACCTGGAAACTGNGGTTAACCACTTTTACCCCAGCCAGCAGATTGACATGTGAAGAAAGGTTTATTGGGGGCTTCAATACTTTCTCTCCGTGGAAGAAAAAAATTTTCAACAAAATATAATTTACTGCATAAAAAAATTTTCCGCGCGGAAATTTATGAAAAAAGAGCGGAAGATATGGAAAAATCTGAAAAAAGCGGAAATCAGCGGATCCGCGGAAGAATCACATCCCTGTATAAAATGATTAAACAGGAACAGTAGGTCTGAAGCACTCACCACACTACTGAATATACATATAAATCACATCAATTTTACACTTAAAAATTAAAATTGTGTTCTTAATGCAAATACAAACAAATTAAAAAAAAACAACCCTAAAATTATTGTTTTAATTGGAAGCAAAAAATTTTAAAAAGAAAAAAATACATTATAAACTTTGCTTAACCTTTTCCTCTTGTTTAAATTCACACAAATTTGTCACACTGGGTGGCATTACTTTTTAGTTTACAAAAAAAAAAAAAAAAAAAGCAGGGATGATGAAGAAAATTTCTTTTTACAAAATTTAACGCTCGTAATAACTTATGTTTAATTTGATTTGTAAAATAAATTTTATTTACTCTCCAAAACTTAACTTAAAAGAACTGTTCAATACAACAAGACTCTTTGCAGGTAGTAGCGGTCATGTGACTGTTAAGGGTTCAGATTTTTTTTATTTACTGTTTTACGAAAATTCTTTTGGTGACAATCAAACTTGTAATAATTACCAAAAAGTGGGTTGATTCTTTGGTATTTGGTCCCATAGTTTCTAAATACATAACTGATGATATTTAAAAAGCTAAGTGGATCGACAAGTTTAACGATATACATAAATAATTTTAGAGAAGTCAGTTTCATTAAGTAAAGAATCAAGACTAAGACATTTTGCTAGAATGAATCTATCAACTGATTGCATCATGTTTAAAATTCTAAAAATAGGAGCCATTTAAAAAATCTCCAACATGCACAGTGCGCCAAAAAAAAGGGACTACCCTGAATAACTTTTGATCTAATGATCGGATATTCACATTCTGCAATTAATTCCTAATGGTTCGAAGGAAAGACTTCAAATATGCTAATTAGAGCAGATGATATTTTAAATTAAAAAATCAGACTAAAAAATGTACTTTCTTTGAATAATCTTACTTTTTTTCTCGATGGATACAGGTTTTTGACCCTCAAAATATAGGGGGTAGCCGCAATCTGGGAAATAGGGTCCTCATAGTTTGGTCAGAAGGTTTGAGCAGTTCGCCATATCTCAAGAACTTCTAAAGCGAATTAGAAATTTTTTCTTTTCACAATTATGTAATTTGTTCATCCAAAGATAATTCCATGCAAAAAATAAATTTTAGCAAATATTTATCATTATTTTATTTAATAGTCGAAAAAATTTGAATTGTACAGTTTAGAATTTTTTACATCACTCTAAAGAATGTAATTTTACGTGGCAAAATTTGATTGAAATCGCTTTAATAGTTTCTGAGAAAATGGATTTCAAAAAAGTCATATACATAAAATTTATTTGCTCAGTTTGATTCATCAACTATTCAACGAACTTTGTTCCTATTATGCATTTTGCCATGTAAAATTAAATACTTTAAAATGATGTAAAACATTGTATACATTACAATTCAATTTACTATTTTTAAACAAAATAATAAATATCAAATATCTACTAAAATTTATTTATTGCATGATATTATCTTTGGATAAATAAATTATGTGCAAAATTAACATTAAGGGATCCAAAATTTGGATCGCTCTCCTGACCAAACTATGGGAACTCTATTTCCCAAATTGCTGCTACTCCCGATATTTTAGGGGTTGGAAATCTGAATCTGTCAACAAAACAAAAAAAAATTAAGTACAAATGCAGAGAAAGTAAACTTTTGTGTCTGATTTTGTAACTTAAAATATCATCAGCACTAATTAACTAGTAAATTTGAGGTCACCTTCTCCCACCATTAAGAATGAGTCCCGATCATTAGAATGAAAATTATTCAAGGTGGGTCATTTTTTATTTTGCGCACTGTACTTCCACTTCATGATACTAACCTGTCCCAAAAATTTATTAAGATGTTTTTAAATAATCGAATGCTGAGAGGACCACCAATTATTCCACTCAACACATCACTAGTTTCTGCATAAGAAGTAGTGAGTGGTGAAACATAGATGGGATAACCAATGGGTTGATCACATGAGGAATTGATGATGTTTCGAAGGGCTTGTTTTGCATTCTGTATACTTCCTCGCTCTGGATTGCGGTTACGTAAGTAAACCAGTTCTTGTTGCTGGCCGGCCCATAAACCTCTCACACATTCCCGATTTATCTGTAAAGAGAATGTTTCTTTTATTTCTTATATATAAAAGCAAATTTATAAATGAAAATATCAAATTGACAATAAAGCTTTTAATAGTTTTGCTGCTATGAAATTATTTGAAACCTTAAGGTGTCGGTGGTCAGACTCTCGATATCTTAAAGTTAAGGGGAAAAAAAAGGGGGACTTTTTCGAAATAGCAGGTTCAGAACTAAATATGTTCTATAAAGTAGAAAAATATTACTCTAAAAAGTAGAGGCCTGAAACATAAAAATAAGTACTAATAAATATGTATGTAATGATAGTTAACTATAAGTCAAAATACAACAATTATAATTTTATTTTCAAAAGTAAGAAAAAAATAATTATGCATTCAATAGAAAAAAAATTGGTTTACAATAAACTTACATTGTGATTTTTCTGAAAAAATTCATTATCTATCTGGAAAAAAATTCACCATAACAGGTTTTGAGAAAACATAGGAATTCAATTTCAACATTAGGTGAATATATAATGAAAAGAAAATTTTGTTGTTGTTGACACAACAAGGTTTTTGAGATAACAAAGTTCGATAAATTGAGAGTATACTGTATTTCAAATCAGCGAGGCTGACAGGTTTTTAAGTCCCCAGGATGAAATTTTTAGTAGGCTCCTTCCTCAAAGCACAAAGAGTCTTATTTAAACATTTTATACAATTTAAGAACCTTTATTCAAAATCGTAGTTTTTATATAGATATAAGAGAATTCTCAGCTAGTTTCTTTTAAAATATCTAACCAAAGAACACTAAATTTATTGTTAAGAATGTAGCCCCGTAACAAATGTATTCCCTCCTTGAATATGGAGACAGATATCATTTTGGATAAATGGTTTTTACGGTGTATGAGTTTATCTTTTCATAATTTCTTGAAGCAAATAATAGAAAGTTGATTAAAATTAAATCATTTGATATGCTCCACAATTTGAAAACATTTAATTTTCGCATCCTTTGATTTTGAAATTGTTGTGACAATCTGGGTGATGTATAGTGGAATAGAATTAAGAATTGCACCGTGAATATTATAACCGTAGTTTGAACCCAATCCAGAAGACAAGGGAACTCCTGGATCAAGTATTGGGAGAAATTTGCCTTTGTGGAGGACTTTTTGATGGAACTAACCCGCATTTGCGTTATATGGAGAGGAAAACCCCGAAACCTCCCACATTAAACTGACGGCAAGGGGACTCCAATCTAAGATCGGTTTACTACTGAGCACATTTTACGCCAGCACTGTGGTCGGTGCGAGCCGGGTGCGGAATTCGAATCGACCAGTCATCGCTGGGATTCGAATCCGGTTCACCTCATTGGAAGGTGAACGCTCTTTCCCCTGAGATATCACGGCTCTAATTAACGGTTTTTGAAATAAAGAAAAAGTTATGTACTGAAAGACAGAATTAATGAAAAAATAGTACCATGAATAGTCAAAAGAAGGGTAACAATATAACATGTACTACTGTTTTTTTTTCTTGTATCGCACTACTCACTACAAGCAACGGAAAAAAGTAGCGACTAAAGTAGTTTCGTTACTTCCGACCACTGTTTCCAAGCTAGATTAAAAATAACTACTAAGTAGAGTTGAGAATAGTTCAAGATGGCTCGAGCAATTTTGGTCTATCTCCAGAGTACAAATCAGTTTTAGAATATGCAGAGTTCCTACTCAATTTTGGAAAGAAAAAAAAATCCCTAACTTTTTCAGGTATATCATGTATATATAAAATGGAAATCTATACTGTGCAATTTTTCATCAAAAAACTTTATTTTTATTTTGAAATGTCAAATATTAGATTTTGTGAGCAAAAATATAATAAAAGCAGAATGAAAACATGGAAAAGTTTCACTAAAAAGTGGGATTTTATAAAATAATTGTAATAGGTGCTAGAATTATTTAACTCGAATCTCAATAATTAATTATTGTTACTGACAATTCGAAGACTGGTTGTTTTCTAAACATAAAAATTTTCCACGCTTTTTGAAAAAAATTGCAACTTTTCCTGATTGCTCTTTGCTTTTAATTAAAATAAAATTCCCTGATGATTCCAGGTTTTCCTTGACCCGTGGGAGCTCCATTATGTGTCACTATGCTAATGTTAACATTTTAAATGTGAGTCATTTTCAAATTATAATAATATAATCAAAATACTTCTGTACCTTGATAACACGAAAGCTCAAAAATCTTTTATTCAACATGATGATCTTATACTCATCACAACCATCTTCAAAAATGTGCCTAAATTAGGATAAAATAAGTGTTAAACATAAAATAAATAATAAACATTGAATATTTCATTTCAGCATGGTTATGCCTTTCATGGTTGACTGCAATATAAATTTAGTGCACTGTGAACTTATTTAATATTTGGAATTCCTCACATACTACTAATATTTGCAGTACACAAAATGTTTTTTTTTTGTAATATAAAAATTGTCGCTTAGATTCAAAACATACCAAAATTTATTAAAAAAAAAGAAGGCACACCACAAATTTTTCTTAATTGATTATTTCATATGAATAATGTAAGAGATTTTTGCAACAAATATACTTCCGATGTAACACAAATTTTATAAAAAACTGGGACACATAATGAAATATGCTTTAAACAATGAAAAAACGATTTAACTATTTACTAATACAAATTTAATTTTAACTTTTTGTTAAAGTATAAAGTTATAGATTTTGATATATATATATATATACACCATTCCATTTAATATATCCAATAATTAAAATTTTATTTAAGTAACAAGGCTGATTTGAACAATATCTCCTGAAATTAAAAAAAGATGATAAATTATATCAGCAATTCCACTAGTGTGCATCAAATAAAGAGCAGAGGGGTGTGAAATTCCCCATAGAAAAAAACAACATGCTTGCGGATTTACTTAGGCAGAATAATTTTTTTTTTAACTAGATATTTAAATTAGTCAAATAGTTTTCTTTTATTTTAAGTATGAAAACTACAATGTTGATAACAAAAACTACATTGTTGATAATTTTTTTTAATTTGAGCCTTTTCTTACTTATATAACAGAAATCAAATTTTTTTAAAACAAAAATACATTTTTTTTTCTGTTTGAATAGCAGTAGGAGGAAATGAAAATAATTATGAGTATAAAATTTTATTTCTGCTTTTCCTTGTGTAAGTGTGTGATCAGTTATAATTAAAACCTTTATTTTAAATATCTCTCTCTTCTAGTTTTGTTCATCAATAGATGAAATCATTATAAAAGGGTACTTAAATAGAAGAGGCAGAGAATTTATCTGTTGATTATATATACATTTTTGTTCATCTTGCAGATTACCTTTTCTTCTACATTTTCTAAGCCTATTTTGTTTTTCAAGTTTATTTTTTGAAACATTATTTGAAGTGCAAATTTATTTGATTTGACAAAAAAATATCTGTTTTGATTATAAATAGGAACCTACTTTAGTAAAAAAGCAATGCATAAATTTCGAAGACAAGGATCCACGTTTTTTCATAAGTCTAGCAGATTCTTTGATTATATAATTATTTAATTAAATGCATAAACTCGGTTTTTTTTTTTTTTTTTACCTGAGTGCCAAAAGTGAAGGAACACTAGATAAAACAGCATTTCTCCAAGCAGGATCAGCTTCATGAGTAATAACCATTGTTTTATCATATAAGCTTATTGCATCATACAAAGCAGCATGTTCTTCATATTCATCAGCAGACATGAAATGATCCTATATAAAATATTAAGACAAATCAAGAATTTACACCAGCATTTTATTCTTTAAAAGATCAGATTTTTTTTTTTGCTTTTGCAAATTAAATAAAAAAAAATAAACATAAAGAAATAAAACCTATAATAAACATAAATATAACTATTTTCTAAAATTTATACAGTACAGAGCCTTTTGAAAAAATACAATTGTGCCGAAGCAGTAAGAAACATTATAACATCTCTGTACAAATAAGCAAGCTGACATACTGCCGCTTGACAAACATAAACAATAATATGAACATCTGTAAAAAAAGAAAAAGACAACCCAACATCTGTGTTATTTATACATAATGCGGTTACGTCATGAACTAATTCATAATATACATTTAAAGAGTAATACAAAAGGTGGCAGTTTGCTCTTAGGATTTCATTTTCTGGTAAGACAAGAAAAAGCGTAATAAGCAGGAAGATCCAACTGTTTAATCAAACTATTTCTAACAGTGCACAATATGTGCGTCTACCTTTTTCTTTCAATAATCTTCATTTTTGAAATGCTTTAGTACTGAAAATTCTATTAGTTTTAAATGAAGATTTCAAAGATAAGATTTCAATTGAATATAGAGTAACATAATAATCCAATGAACTATAATTGCATATCTCAAAGAAAAAAAGAAGAGGAATTAAATTAAAAGAAAAAATGCATACTTGGTGCAATTTTAAAGCCATTCGAACACTGGGTGCAATAACCCTTCTGAGTAAATCCATGTCCTGGAATACCCACTCGTCTCTCACTGATGTAATGCGAAAATCACCCTTGAATAATGCATGTAGACCATACAGCAAATAATCAACGCTAGAAGGAAAAAAATCAATACTCATTTGAGACAAAAAGTAAATGACTAGATTCCACTGAAAATAAAAAGATTCAATAACCAGAAGAAAAAATAAGCTTTTTGAGTTTCGAGGAATATCAATTTACACAGTACAAAATTTAAAGAGAGGCAATTACCAAATAAATAGATAGAAAATGATGATTTATTTTTAAATTAAACATAAAATATCTATTGAAAAATGGTAATTATGGAGAAACATTGTCACAACCAGAAAAATATTTAAACTGACTAATTAAGTTTTCATTAATTAGTTGATTCATTTATTTTAAGGTTAAGATATGATAATTTTGTCACCCATACTATGAAATAAATCAATTGAGTCAACTTTCAAAATAACTTTAAAAACAAACCTAGCGAAAGAATTGTGAGAAGCTGTGCCCAGAACGCGTCTTGCCAGCAGACTTAAGCCGAAACATAAGGACATCATTGCAGAATCTTTGGAAGAATTAATAGACTGAAACAAAATTCATTATAAATCATTAATACTCAAACTTTATTCATATGAATGCAGAAATAAAGTGATATAAAATCATTTCAAGTCAATGTTTTGAACATATATTTTTTATATCAGTTTAAAAATACATTATAAATTGTTGATAAATTAAATGAGGACACCGTTCAAAGAAGCATAGAAAATTCTGCAATACAATTTTATACTTGGGAACATTTATCAGTAAGACAAATATTCTCATCGCTCTTCCTGATTTCTCTTTTGAAAATACAGTCAATTCGCTATAACTCAAAGTACGATAACTCAAATATTACTATAACTCGATTTTTTTATGAGGTCCTGACCCTTTTATCTTTAATTTCATGTTAATTATTCTCGATTACTCGAACTTTACTCCCTTTAACTCGATTTTTTTTTGGATCTTGTAAAAAAAAACCCCAAAAAAAAAACCCTAGGAGCTGATATTTTGCCCCTTCCTTCGCAACACACACACAATGTCTTTCGCACTCTTCATGGAGAAGCTAAAGCTGTCCCTCTTGAAGTATGTGAACAATGTTTAAATGAAACGTTACCAAATTTACTTAAAGGATACAGTTAAAATGATGTTTTCAATATTGATGAAATGGGTTTATTTTTTAAATGTCTTCCTAATAAGACTATGATGTTTAAGGATGAAAACTGCTCAGGGGGTAAAATGAGCAAGGAACGTTTGACTGTCCTAAATGGAGGAAATGCGTCTGGGACAGAGAAATTGTCTTTAGTTGTTATCAGAAAATACCGAAATCCCCGATGTTTCAAGAATGAAAAAGCGTATCATTTGGATTACAAGTCTAACAAAAAGTTTTGGATGACATCAGTTTTATTTGAAGACTATATAAGAAAATTGGATCGGAAATTCTTCGCTAAAAAAAGAAAAGTGATACTCTTTATGGATAAATGCACAACGCATAGTGATCTGCCTAATTTGAAAGCAGTAAACTTGCAGTTTCTCCCGCCAAACACAACAGCAAAGTTGCAGCCGATGGACCAGGGTATCATAAAGTGCTTCAAACAGTCTTATCGTAAATGGCTTGTCAGGAAAATGATTAATAAGCATTAATTAAATAATCCGACAATATTTTGAAAGTCCAAAACCGAAACTAACAGTAAGTCGAACTTCCGATATGTCGAAGTTTTTCGTCAGTCCTATCAGATTCGAGTTATTGCGAATTCACTGTATAATAAGATTTTGAGTTAAAAATGATCTTTTTATTGTGTTCAGATAAAGTATTAATACCAGCTGGAAATAACTTATGTTTGTACAAAAAGAAAGAAACACAAATTAAAAATATTGTATATTCAGTCGTACATGTCGACCCGTTCTATAAGTTGGCTCCTTATTATGAGGTACAAATTTCTGGTATATCGGTAGTTTAAGTCGACAGTAGTAAAAGAATCAAATATAAAAAAATTTTAAAATAAAAATACTTCACAATGTTCTCTTAGGATATATTTGTTCTGAAATGATACTTCATCCCCTCAAATATAGGTGAATTAACAAATAATGTGAGGCAACCAGTCAAATGAAACTGGGTGCATGCTAAAAGCTAGATTCAAATGTTATTCCAAAATCTTTAAAAAAACTATAAAATTTAGATGGGAATGAGGACAATTTTATGTGGAACTCAGTCAATGAGCAGCATCCATTGCAGTGTGGGATCTGTGTGGCAACACTGCTTACGTTATTGAGTTCGACACAGATGTTGGTTCGGAATCTTTAAATGTGTTTGAAAAGTTTTCACTGTGTTATAATTAGTGAAATATTTTTGAATAAATTATCTTAACTTTTCTTAATCTAACAAGATTCCCACTCAATTTCAGAAAGAAAAAAATCTCTGATTTTTTCAGAAATATCAGGTAAATTTCAATGAAAATCCATACCATATTTTATTTATACCATGCAAATTTTTCCTCAGGAAACTTTGATTTTCTAAAAAATTCGTAATGTTGAATATTATATTTTGTGAACAAAAACATGAGAATGGAAACATGGAAAAGTTTCACTAAAAGTGGAATTTTATAAAATAATTGTAATGGATGTTATAACTATTTAACTTGAATATCAATATAACTGATTATTGTAACGGACACTAAGACTGGTTATTTTCCAGGTATGATGTATATAGGAATTTTTCAATTTAAAAAAAAAAAAATCAACTTTTATTGCTTTTTAGTTAAAATAAAATTCTTTAACAATTCCAAATTTTCCCTACTCTCCCTGACCCATGGGACCCCCCCCTTTCTTTTTCAAAACGTAATTTAAAGCATCATTTCTAAAAAGAAAATCCTTATGTAAAAAGGAAATACAATGAGGAAAAATGAATTGATATATAATAAAAATAGTTTTTGAAAAGGGTGGAGTGAAACACCGTTTTATAATGCATTGATATTTCATGATAGACAAATGTCCGACATTATTACTGGAGTACTTATCTTTAGGGACATGAAACTTCTAACCTGTCAAATCGAAGATAGATGTTCTTCGCAGGTAACAACAGCGCTTCTTAAATGGTACCAGGAAGATAATCAGAAAAAGGCCACTCAAATTAGGAAAACTAAAATTATGTGTATCATGTATGATAATTAGCAACTGTTATTATCTTCATGTTGAAAAACCAAACAAAACAGTAAGCAAAAGTTGCTTGCAAGAGGAAATTTCTCAACAGTCTTGTCAGAATTTTTTCTACTAGAAATTATTGAACAACATAAAAAATAAAAAAAATCATTAACATATATTTGTTATCATTTATTTACTCACTAATTTGTTCTTATTGATGCAGAACTGAATCCAATTATTATAGACATTGCAAAAACTATTTCTAGAAACCCCAGAAGCCCTGAAATCGTAGTCCTCGTCAACCGTCATGTTGAAAACAGGATCCAGATCTGCATAGTTTTTATCCAGGGTAGGCTTCAAGGCTTCCTGGATGTGGTCAGACTGGAGCCATTCTTCCAGCTTTGCATTACAAATTGTATAGTAAATAACACTCTGAAAAATAATTAAAGTGTTTAAATAGAGCGACATACTTGATGAAAACAAAACGTTATTCAATTGCAAACTTATAACAGATTTGTATTTCATCAAAATGAAAGTTGTTAATTATTTTTGAAAATTTAAAAAACATACCAGAAAAAAACCTTTAAAGAATTTTAAAAAAGTTAACTTAAAAGCATTTAACACATTTTTTAAAAATTATTAACAGAGTTTTATATTAAAAAGCTTAAAAATTCAATGAACTATTCCCTTATTTTCTAATTTCCTACTTAGTTAACATAAGTTATCATATTAATTTTTGTTTTATTGCAAATATTGTTGACAATTATCAATGTTCATAAGATTAATAAGAAATAATTATGATTATTATTGAATTCACTATAAAAAATATTACAATGAAATAATTATTTTTAAATTGCATTTAGCAATATAGTTAGATTGAAAATACAATTTTAAAAATACTTTAAAATCAGCTTTTCAGTGGAGTGGGTTTATTTATTGAGAAGAAACGAACAGGAATTTGATAGGTCTCAACACTATTTTGGAGTAAATTTAGCAGCATTTCATGTGCACTGCTTTAATTGCTAAATTACAGTAGCATTAATCTACATTACATCTATGATTTCTCTGATGCTTTTTTTTTATTTATCCCCTTCAAAAAAAATATATATATAAAAAGGTTAAAAATAATTAATTAGAATATAAATATAAATAGACTTATTTCAATAAAATTAAGTTTAAGAGGATTTAATAAATTTTACAAAAACAACAAAAATAGCACACATCTTTAAAAAAATTTAATTTTTGATAAAACTTAAAAAAAATATTTATTCAATGAAATTGAGGGTGGACAAGGCATAAAATTGATACCCAAGAGGAAAAGCACGTAATGTTTATATTTCTAGATTTTGCTACAATTTCCTAATTGATATTTAAAATAATCTGAAATTTAATTGAAAAACATATATACAAACTTTTTAAGGTGTTCTTAAACACAGTTCAGTATAAAAAATGGTTGGTTATCAGCACAGCACGTTTTTCCCGCTCCCATTGTTATGCAATGCATAAATAGCAAACAATAAAGAAATTTTAGAGCAAATTTCACTCAGATGCTCAGCAATTACAAACTTTTAACATGTAAAAAGTGAAACATGTATGTCAAACATATATGTATAACAGACAATCTCATAAAGTACAACATACTTTTGAAGCTTATGGAAAGATGCATATGCAGCTCATTTATTGAAAATATAAAAATTAATAAAATTTATTTGAACATCTAAACTCCATTTCTAAAAATAACTACTATACAGGCTTTTATACCGTATAAATGCATTTCATAACTTTTTTGGATTAATCAAATGCTTAATACCAATCAATTTACACACTAGGAAATAAAACAATTTTAAATGGATGAATCAAAATTTTATAATCGTCATTAAACAGCCAACCCAATTTTGGGTTTATGACTACCAATGGTCAACTCTGTAGCCTTGTAATTTTGAACCTAATCCAGAAGACAAAGGAACTCCTGGATCAAATTTTTAATGCAACTTTTTGACGGAACTAACCTGCATTTTCCTTACAAGGAGAGGAAAAGGAATCTAAATTGTACTTTTCAAAAGAGAGAAGCTTACCTTGACATAATAAGTGATGAGGGCCTTTCGTAAATCAAAAACTTGCAACATAGATACAGCATTGTTATCTGAAATGCTGTATCCCTCAACGACATACTTTGCTGTAGTAACTTCCCATGCTAGCCAGCGTTGATTAAAGGCTGCATTGACGGAAAGTAAATGGGGCAAGTGACCAGGCTCACAGCAGCAGCATCCTATAAAAAGGCACAATGTACTGAAAGTTGCATTACCATTATTATTATTTTTTTTTTTGAAATAAGTTATTTGCATTAGAGAATTAACTTAAATTTTGCACTTGAATGAATAAAATAACATAATTTACTATGAAGTTTTTCTTAATTAAATTCGTTAAATAAAAAAGTATTATTTTTAACGGTTTATCTTACCAATTTTTTTAAAAAAAAAAAAAAAAAAATGCAAAAAATCAACATTCTTTTTATTTTATTACATTAATAAATAGAAGGAACTAAAACAAAACATAAGTTTCAAGTCAAAATTGTTTTTTTTTTCTTAATGTATAAAAAACATTTAATTTACTATCAGTTTACGATCCTCAGTTATCTCGGGTAAATGAAAAAAGTTAAATATTAATCTTTGTATGATAGTTATTAAAAGAATGGGCAACACAAAGTGATACTTTCCAAATGTCAGTGAAGTGATACGCCTTTTTTTATTTATTACTCTTTATTCTATGTAAATTCAGCAACCATCGTATATACAATCACACTAAACACGTGTGCAGTCTCACAATCATAACAGCAAAACTAGGAAACAAAACTTGGCAAACTTCCAATAACAGCAGATTATTATTATTTTTTTAATTCTGGCGGAGTAAAACCTTGATAAAACAAACCATACTGACAAGTTTTGCTACGCCCGAGTTTTCTAGGGATAATCAGGGAAGCAGTTAACAAATACAGTAACATATTTACTTTGTCGATTAATCACACATATCCAACTAAGTTTGTTAATTATGCAGCAGCTACATTTCTAAAATGTTCCAAATACAGGATATTTTCTTCCATTTTTAAAAAATACCTGATCAGTTATTTAGAGATATACATATATAGATTATAGTTCGAATACAGCTTGCGCCATTTGCAAATGAATAACAAGAGCTAGAGAAAGGCAAAAAATTAACAGTCACCATAAGTCACTAATTATAACAAACATCGATTAAATAATTGTCTGCCAGTCAATAATTTTTCATTAACAATGATTGCACTTTATTATTTTATTTTAATAAATATGGAATTATTATGAATACTTTATTCCACACTTGTTCCTTAACATTTTTGTAATAAACCTTGTTATGTTAACCATATTTTGAGAAATGCTGCAAAAGATATGCCTTACATTATTATTGCCAACAATTTATTTAAATATTTTTGAAAAAGTGGTCACTTTTAAAAATGTTACAACTGGCCACTAACAAAATTTTTTAATTTTACCATATAGTTAGAGAGTAATTCTATTTAAATTCTAAAAGTAGAAGGGAGGGTGTTCATATTCTTTAATCTAAAATATTTCACAGTAAGTAATAAACCTGCTAATGCTGTAAAATTGATCCTAATCAAATAAAAATTATCTCACACTATATAAAAACTAGAAAAGAAAGCTATACATTTTAGAAAAAAACTTTGATTTAAAATTATGTTCTGATGTGTTAGACTACTTACTGGTGGTTTAGAAAATGGGCAAAATTGGGAGAATAATTCTCCCCTATACACTATTCCTCTATCTATTAAAATTTAAGAACTGGTTTTGCTATGCGGAGAAGACTGCAGCTTAAAAAAAAAAACGGCTTTTTACGTGCAGAACCGCCAGTGGGTTAAAGGATATAGACAAATGCATACCTTCATTTTCATCCACCCCTTCACTTATGGCTTCCACTTCACGTTGTTGGCAGTATGTTCCTAAAAAAAGTAATTCACATATAAAATTTTTTGGGGAAACAAGATCTAAATATTGAAAAATAAATTAATTTTCTTAAGACTTGTTAGTAAACTTCGATTCATTCAATAATAGTGCAACAATATAGTGTAAGAAAAATAATTAGGATTGAATGAAAGAGAGTAAAAAGAATATTCATAATGAAAATAAAAATGAGTTGCAAACTTTTTTTAATAGTTATTTATTTATTTTTTCATCACAAAACAATTTATCCATAAGAACAGAATAAAATCTTTTTACATATATCAAAGAAAAATTGATCANTTTCCATTTAATATTTTTAAACAATTATTGCTCTATTAGTGTGTAAAATTTCTTGCATTCTTATATTTAATAAATTTTTTACTTAAAATTCCTTAGAAGTGCCAAATGTTGCATACCATGCACCTTTTTTTACCCCTCCTGAAATCTCCTGAATTCTTGTTAGGGAAACTCCTGAATGTTAATTTTGCTAGGTTGGCACGTCTGCTGTATATATCTAAAGAAAGCTATTTGATACATATACAGGGTGTCTACTACTGAAAACATGATCCCATGACCTTTAATTTCAAACTCTAGTTTTAGATGAATTTCTGTCTTGATACATATATAAGATAAAGTTCTTATACTAATTTCAAATCATGTTATTGACATATTTTTCTAAAATTTAATTTTATAAATTTTTTTTTTAATCCAAAGAAAAGCAATCTGTAGCAGAACCATCAAGAGGGATTTGAATGAGAGATTCTCATCAGTCATAGACACCAAGTAAAAATATCAGTGGTTAGAAAATTTATATTTTTCTGTAGTTACATACAAAAGAGAACCAATTATTCAGAATGCTTGGGGCCATCGCTGTCCTAAAAGTCTGAATTTCTTAGTTCTCTAAATAGCTGAAAATTGATTCAATACAGCTTAAATACATTTCTACTTTAAATAAATAAATAAATACAAAAAATAGTGTTTTTTAGCCAGTCTTTTTAAAAATTTGCATTTTCACTTCAATATTTATATTGCAAAGAATGAAAATTTTCTTGTTATTTCCCTATAACCTTGAGTTCACTAATAGGCATGGAAATCAAACAAAAAACAAAATCAGCATGCCACTTCTTTAAGTTTGATTGATAGCATCTAATCATTGAACCACTGATTCTTTCCAATACACAGGAGAAAAAAAAAGAAATTGTCCCTTCCCCCTTCAATTTAAAGATTTTCAAGGTTAAGAAAGAAACACGACACTAAACCTCTGTCACTAAAACTTCTACATTAAGGATGACTGGAATTTCTGCGCCTTGCCTCAATCGTTCTAGTTCAAAATAGAGGGAACAACAAGCAAAATTTTTTCTGATTTTCTGGATACTGGAAAAGGTTGTATACGGTACAATCACTTTATTGCAAATTAAGTTAACAACTATTTCTTAAATATAACGATTTACAAAATATTTTCGAAACACAGTCACTACTTATATTTAAAAGCATGGAATTTGCAGAAGGTCATCAATTTGCTAAAAAACTAAACTCAGTGGCACGGCAACCCATCTCAGTTTTCCTGACCTTGGGCTCTGGGGGTGCACGAGCAGATGTTTCAGATTGGTGGTCAGCCGAACTCAGATCCCCCACTGTTCAGTGCCCAAGTATCCTTGGTACTCATTCTATCGACCCACTGAATGTCAAAGTCAACATTGCTCGGCTCGAGAATAGAACCCGTGGCATGAGAAGGGGACATACTACCACCGGGCATCCATCAATTTCCACATAAGAACTTTAAAGATAAATATTTCAATTTTATGCCTTATTCTGGCTTTCTTGATCTGTAAAATTAAATTAAAATAAAGCTAGAAAATTATCAAATATTAGTGATATTGTTAAATGTCACTTTAATTTCCTCTAAGAAATACTATAGATTGAGAGATGTGAGCAAGTATATTTCTCTGGTGCAACCACGTAATACTTGCACCAATCAGATTCAGAATATTAGTTGCGGGTGAATTATGTTGCTAAGAATCACACTACTTTTGTTTTCTTTAAAAAGTACATTACAAACTAAGAAAAATGTAGACAGGGTGCGTAGCCAAATCTTTGAATCAAAAATAAGCACTTTTTAAAAACTTTTCAAACACTTTACAAAAATTTTCAAGCACTCAAAAAATTCATATTCAATCAATGATATTATTGAAAAACAAACTTTTTATAAAGAGCTTTAGCGTTAAAACCCCCCCAAAAAGAAACGGACATAAATCAAAACAATCAGTACTTTCCCACATCACCGAGTGAATTCAACTTGACCCTGAACTCAGAACAAAAGTAACCTTACCCCCTATGTCAAAAAAGTGTTTGAAGTAAAATAAAATAAACAAGAATAAAATTAAAATAAATTAAAAAGAAAAACATTTAATAAGGATCTGACTCTATCCGAATTGGAGCACTCGGGTTTCAGTTTTGAGTGTGCGCGCATGCGCAAGTAATAACGTGGGTACGACATGAAGTCCGCGTGAATGATTACGTAGCAAACACTCCATTTTTCGTGAACTGCATGGGATCCACCAGATATCACTGAAGAAAAAAAAATTATTTGTGGAAAAAAAAGCACTTTTTAAAAACACCAGCTGAAAAAAGCACCTTTAAAAGCTTTTAAAAACGAAATCCCCAAAAAAGCACCTTTAAGTACTTTTTACAAACGCTACGCACCCTGTGTAGAGACTACAGTAGTTTTACTAACTGTAGCCACAAAAAAGTATGGCATTATAAAGTAATGTAAAAAATGTCTTACAAAAATGTTTGGATAGAAATTTTTTTTTACCTCTGAACTCTAAGCCTCTGACTTGAAATGTTACTAATCCATTCCCCAATTCAATGACATGAACCAAACAGTTTAGGTTATAAGATGCCAAAACGAAACAATCTCCTTGCTCCACTGAGCCCCACCTTCCAAGGGCAATGTCACCGTACAACGAATGCTGAAGAGAGCGAGTTAGGTGTTCATAAAATATAGAATTCAGGTTGTTGTCATCAGCTCCTAAAATAATAATGTAATCGTAGCTTTAAAACATTAGAAATTCATAATTATAAAAAGTATAGAGAAAATATTCATAATTATTTAGAAATTCATAATTATTTTATTGGCAAGGTGAGAACAAAATGATTACCAGGATTACATTCCAGTTGTGATGACAGTCTGGTGTTTGAATGATCAACTCTTTTTGTACTGAAAAATAAATTTTTTTCAGTTATAATTCATATAATTGCAACAAGTTATGTTTAAAAAAACCTAATAGGTTTAACCCGGCAGTAAAATTTACGAAGTCAATCTGCAGCACTACCTGCATAGATTTTGCGTCCTCAATGCAGACAGTGTAAAAATTCATTGTGATTTAACATACACATAGCAAAATTCAAAAATATAAGGTCTTTAAAAATTATACATAAAAATTTAATGTTGAAATTCAAATTGAATTTGATGCAATTATATTAAAAAATGGAATATAGCATTTAAGTCTGTTACAAAAGAAACAGATGAAATATTCTTTGTTTCTGTTTTTTTTGTGGTATTCTCTTAGTTCATTTTTTTATTATAAACAACTTTTGAAATGTTTCATAAATTAGTTTCAGTAATTCTCCCCCTAAATAGCTACTTCGCTTCTTAAAAATAAAATTTAGTTGAAGAATAATCGTCAGTGTTCGCTGTTGTGCTGGAGGGTTTCTGCTACCAAAAGATTTAACTCATTAGTTAACAAATAAAATAAATAAGCAATTTAGTTATTGAAAAATAAGTAATACTGAAATAGCATGGCAACCTAAAAAAACCAGGTGTTGTCAGCATATCTTAATACAGTAAAACTTCTGTAAAATGTAAATGTTTATTATATGTAACATAAAAAGCTTCAACTAATCTCTTTATGTTATTCCTTTTTTGAAAATCTTTTTCTTAATTTATTATTCAAAATGAAACGCTCTCTCTCACACTTTAATATTCACACCTGTCTTTTAATCTATTTTTAGTTCAAGTATGCATTAATTAAAATTTTAACGTTAATCCCTGTAATTAAGCCTGAGAAAGCTAAATTTCACTCTACCTATTTAACAGATCAATTATAATTACTAAGATTTCCCTTATTCCTTAACTTTTATTGAGGGGCACAACGATATATGTCACTTAGATATTCATTTTCTAATTATGATGAGTAAATAAAATTAATTCCTTCTTTTTGAAATCCTGTGCCTGTTTGTTCTGCTCGAACGACTGCCACCGTTAGATATATATAAGTTAAAAATATTGAAAAAATATGAAAAACAATATAATAAAGAATAATGAAAGAGAAGAAAAATAAAATAAAACTTATTAATTTTCTTTGTTTTTCTCTCTTTTCTATTTATTCTTTTTCTCTTTATGGTGCTAAATATATAAAACAAGTTTTTAAATTTATGGTAACCCATTTTTGAGAAATGAATAAATAAATACAAAAAATGAAATTAAAAATGCAAAAGTTAAATTTGAATACTTTTTAATGTCTGAAATTTTATAACACTGAATAAACCTTTTGAAACTATTTATTTATAGTTTCTGAATTTCAGTTCCCAGCCCATGGGCAATGGACAGAGCAATGCTGGGCTGTTGGAAGTTATTTTCTTTATAAAAATTAGTTTTTTAATTCTCCCTGTGCAGTATCTTATACTTACTTGTAATCTCTCTCCCAAAACTTTATGGGCCGCACATAAGATGTGAAAAATATTGCACTGCCTAAAATTGGACTTAAAGGTGTTGATAAAACAGATGAAATGGCTGCTTGTATAAACAACATTGCAGAATCTTATTACAATTAAAGAAAAATTATTGCAAAAATAGTAGAGATGCAGCTTCATAGTTGCAACCATTTGAAATCACAATTTTTGCACATGTATACAATTATCACTTAGTCAATATCTCTAAAAGTATTCAACAGTATTATAAACGATACATTTGAGCATTTTACATATTGAAATAATAAATTTGATTAACTATACACAAATTTTTTTATGTTTTTTCTAAAGAAATTAATATATTAGTGGCAATTATTTATATCATTTGAAAAATAGACGAATATGTTGAAATATTAACAATACAATTGTGGGGATTATATAAAATAAATTTTAAATAATTTTTATTTTAATTAAAATGATAACTAAAATTTGCAGGTTTGTGTTATACCTGACCTTCATAACAATGGATGAATTTTAATGTGATTCTGGATGAATTTTGATGTGATCATTCAAAACAATGCAAATTTGTTTTTAAAAAAGTTGCAAAAGAGTGTTTGTATAAATAAATGAATCTTTTTTTCTGCCATTTCAACGATAAATTTTACAGCACGCATTACAGGGTAAAACTAGGAAATTTCAGTACCAGTCAGTTGTAGCATATCAATAACGATTGATATTTAAAATATATGACCACTTTTTCTAAAATTGAATGTTTTGAGAGACTGTGGCACAAAGTGAAAAATTAAGAAACTTTAAAGTGCAAGAAATCGATATTAAGATATCAAATTTGAGACAATATGTGTTTCATATTGAACAAATTTATTTAAAATAAGATTTATAATTAATATATTTAACGAATAACACACACTTAAAATATCTAATTTAAGGGAAATCTTAGTTGTTGCAAGAATTGTGCTATTCGATTAAAAATCAAGTGAATATAAACTGCAGAACTAGATTTTAATAATGCATGAATATAAATCGAATATTGGATTTTAAAATCGAAAATATGATTTGCGACATTGGATTTTAAAATTACGTGAATATGAATCACGATATTCATTTTTAAAAGTGCGTGATTACAAATCGTGATGCACGATTCTTCAAATGTGTAGCTTTTAAATAGAATATAAATACAAAAATCGATATTCAATATTATAAACAAGTGAATACAAATTGCAATATTGGACTTTAAAAACGTGAATATGAATTACGATATTCATTTTTAAAAGTGCGTGATTACAAATCGTGATGCATGATTTTTCAAATGTGTAGCTTTTAAATCGAATATAAATACAAAAATCAATATTCAATATTATAAACACGTGAATACAAATCGCAATATTGGACTTTAAAAACGTGCAAATACGAATGGTAACATTGGATTTTAAGCTTGTGCTTAAGCTCGCCCTGTGACGACCATTAATTTAGTTTTATTCTGCCATGCAATTGAAATAACAGTGTAAGTGCTTCATGATAGGTTTGGAGTAAAGCGGCTTGATAACTATTTTCTTTCAATAGCTTATATCATGAATGCTAAAATAAAATTTCAGAAAACTGATAAAACAAAATTAATTTTTGGAAATTTTTTTTTTCCTCCAAGCTTCTTTTATACAAAAATGCCTATGTATAAAAATTTCAATTTTGAATTTTTATCTCTTACATTGATTTTTTTAATTAATGGCAGTATAGCACACATACTATAATTCATACAAGAAAATAAAAGATGAAGATAAATTGAGTAATAACAAACTAAGGCTTATTTAATTCAAAAAGAATTGTGACCCACAGAAGAAATCCTAGTAACGTATTATTTTATGCCACTTACATAAAGCATAATCTTGCTGCACTCATTTTTTTTTCTTGTCACATAATGCATTAATAATTTTATGGAAAATTAAAACAAAAGAAAGAATGAAACATTAAGGATACGAGGCACACTGAATGGCTGAGCAAATGCATGGAAAGCAGATCCCCATGTAATCTGCCAAGGTGCTATGTAGATTATAATGAATCTTACTTTTAGAAGAAACTCATAACACTGAAAGAAAAAATTATATCAAGCATTTTACAATTACACTAGGAAAGAAAAAAAAAGAGCAAGTAAATAATTTTTTATAAAAATCGAGAAAAATTAAACTGTTTATAAGTGAAGAATTTTCAAAATATTTCTTAACAAATTATCAGGTATTACTTAATTTATAAGTATATTTACAGAAGTTTTGTAAATATACTTAGATTCTGTAAAATATAAGTATATGTCACAGAACCTAGTTTTAGTTTCCTTTGAAAACACTGTACAGGAATTGAATAGTACTTGCATTTGGTGTAGTTATCTTTTCATTAATCAGTCATGTTTTTATTAATTAATTGCACTGCTATTATCCACTATTCTGTTAGACAGTTTCCTGACTTATAAATTGACAAAATTAGTGAAATAATTGATGAATATCCTCACAACATAACAACCTCATATCCATTTTAATTTAAGTAATAATTAAGTTAATTTAAGTAAATAAAATTTTAGTTTTCTTATTATGACTCGAAAACTAATAAAACTTAATCACAATGGGAATAAATTCTATTTATGGAAAGTAAAGATAGAATAATAAGTTTTTGCCAAAACGCAAAATGTACTAAAAAATTAGCATCAATTACATTGTCTGGCAAATAAATATCTTAAATCTAAAAAAGTTACAATTTTAAAATAATATTGAAACAAAAAAATACAAGTAGAAAAACTAAAAATTGCATTGAACTTCAATTAAAGTATATCAATAAAAAAGTTAGTATGCAAATAATTAGGATAAATTTTAATTATCATAAATTACTATAACATTTTTATATTTTATAAAAAATTAAAAAAGAATACCTTTGTGAATACAATTGAAGAAACAAAAAAGTTGACTAAAAAAGGTTCCTTGCTTCCATGGAAGTCAAATTGAAAGAAGAGGGTCATAAATATGAGGACTAAATAGAATCGAGAAGAGTTACAAAAGGCACTGCGCAGGCACTTGAAACTGCACACTACCACAACTAAAGAACCACCACTGAAAAAAAAGAGAAAAAAACTGTCTCAATGATAAAAAAATATAAAAAATATTTTCCAGCAAACTAATACCATCATTGCTCATATATAAAAAAACCCCCAGGTAATATGAACATTTAAATTGAATTAGGAGAAGTGGAAATGGTTAGAAATCATTTATTATAAATATAAAAATTTAAATCCAAACTATATTTTTTAATTTAATGTAAATATAACTTTAAAGATTGAAAGGAAAAAAAAAACTGAAAATTACAACAATGAAATAAAGTTTAACTCAAATATTAAAAAACTAAATTTAAATTGTACTATGTTAAGATTTCAATGAGTCTATATAAAACTTCTATGAGAAAAAGAGAGCTATGAAATAAAATAAAACAATAAAAGATAAAAACATTTCTTCTGCTCAAAATTATAATTTCTATTTTAATATAATATTTTCAATTATATATACATATTGGTTATATATTAGCCTATATATATAAATATATATCTATATTGTATATACTATTAAAAACTTAACATTTATTATGATACAGCAACTAATTGACTAGCATTTCAGGTTTTTGACAGTTTAGAAGTAAGTCCCTACTCAATTTCAGAAGAAAAAAAATTCTGACTTTTCCAGGTATATTAGATAAATTTGAATGAAAATCCATATCATATTTTATCTATACCATGCAATTTTTCATAAGAAAACTTTGGTTTTTTTATTTGTATTGTCAAATATTAGATTTTGTGAGCAAAAACATATAATAGAATAAAAATAGAAACATGGAAAAGTTTCACTAAAAAGTGGAATTTTACAAAATAATTGCAATGATGTTAGAATTATTTAACTCAAATCTGAATAACTTATTACTGGTACTGACAAATCAGACTGGTTATTTTCTTGGTATTATGAGTTTTCCAGGTTCTCTGTAAAAAATTACATTTTCCCCCGACAACTCCCAGCTTTTTAGAGTTTAAAAAAAATTCCCGGACAATTCCAGGTCTTCCCTGTTCTCTCTGACCTGTTGGAGTCCTGAAACAGTTGGTTTCATAGCTCAGTTTTTGACTGTTGTCACATCAAAAGCCAGCATTTGACATCAAAATCAAACTTTGGTAAAAGATGCAAGATTTATTTGCTTTAAATCTCAATGGTTACTTGTTAATACTAAGAAATTTAAGATAGGTTAATTTAATGTTCACAGGATTTTGCCCAAAAATGGAACAGGTTTGTTTTACCATCAAACTAAAATTTAATTATAGGTTTTCCTGACTCTGTTGGAGCTTTGCGTATGAATTAGATACCCTAACATTACCTTAAACTTGTAAATTTAAATATATACTAACTAAATTCCAAATTTAGCAATGATGATAGATGAATCTATAGTCAAGGCACTCAGAAAAAGTAAAGGATAGAGAGCATTTTTCTCTATGAACCACATCCATACTTGTACTTTCTCAAACCACATCAGCTTTGCAGCATCTGCAATGGAAGACAGCAATTTAAATTAAATAAAATAAATAATAATAATAAAAAAATTTCTGACAACAAAATCTAACAAAATTAACCTCGTTTTTGAAACTACATAACAAGATAAATAGAATGTTAAGATAGCAAAACTAAATGCATTTTTAACACTTATTTTTGGTTCATAAGTATAATTCAATTGAATTATTTCTTATTAGAAATAAAAGTATATCAGACCAGCCAAATTCAATTTTTAAAATTGCAGAAGATACACTACAAAACTGCAGAAGAAATAAGCCTGGCGATAGGGAAACAATGATGAACAGTGATTTGACTAACAGAAGGATCACGATTTGTATCTGGAAAAAGGTAAAATCATTGACAGCAAGGTTACAGCGAGATGCTACCATATATTGAAGTTGATATCAAGGCAAAACGTTGAACTGTGTTCCTGAACAAAAAGGTAATGTTTTATCAAGATAGCTGAAGTCAAAATACTTGATGGTTTTTCATTGATGGGCCAACATAACATTGACGGTAACCATCAATAATTCCATCAGGAACCAATTTTTTTCTGTTGATGGTAACCAACATATGTAACCAATGTAGGAATTCAGACTGCTTTAGGATGGTCCAACATATGAATAGCAACTTGTTTTCATGGTTTATTCCTGTTGAACCATCAGAAATTTTCATCATAGTTTCACCAAATGTTGGAACGATCATGAACCACCAAAGTAAGAATTTGGACTGATTTATGATGGACCAACAAGAAAAAAAAAACTAAGTTGCTTCGATAGTATATTTCCGAGAAACATAAAGAATTTATCAAGGAAAGGTATAGTTTGAAAAATCACGGACTGTCATGGATTATTGGCTCATGGGAATCAAACTTATCTTGATGGTTAACCATCATAATATTAAAAGCATTTATGATGGGCCAACAAAAAAAAAAAACTAAGTTGCTTAGATAGTATATTTCCGAGAAGCATCAAGAATTCATCAAGGAAAGGTATAGTTTGAAAAATCACGGACTGTCATGGATTATTGGCTCATGGGAATCAAACTTATCTTGATGGTTAACTATCATAATATTAAAAGCATTTATGATGGGCCAACAAAAAAAAAGAAAAAAAAACTAAGGTGCTTAGATAGTATATTTCCTAGAAGCATCAAGAATTCATCAAGGAAAGGTATAGTTTGAAAAATCACGGACTGTCATGGATTATTGGCTCATGAGAATCAAACTTATCTTGAAGGTTAACCATCATAATATTAAAAGCATTTTCCATCATGGAACGGTGGAAGTTTGTTTACATATAAAATACCATTAACGCAATGGAAAATGTTGGATGATGGTGATGATCAAATGATGTTGGACCATCATGAATCACACTGAAACCAACATAAACCATCAAAAATTTTGATGGAACCATGAAGAATTTGACTTGGGAACGCAAGATTACATGTGTCTGCATTCACCGGCTGGACTCTATATAGACTCAAATGGGATTTTTCGCCACACCTATCATATACAGGGGTGATTGTGAGCCCAACTAAAATATCCTGAAAATTTCTTGAGTAAATCATTAATGACGCATTTCAAAAAATCAATTTCTTTATAAATTTAAATCATTGATATTTTAAAAGCATGAAATTCTAAATAAATTATATGCAATGTAATTTAAATTAATAATTATGTTTAAGTTCACTTTTATCTTTAATCACATTTATTATTCTACCAGAAAAAAATGTTTACAAATGAAAGAGATGCCATGTATAAGTTCTAGTTCTAATGTTTTTAAATAAAATTTACAATCTTTCTTTCTTGAGTTAATGATTATAATACAGGGATGAGATTAGCCAAAACGCAAAAAAGCTGAATTTCCATGATAGTAAATTTTACGNAAACTGTGTTTTTAAGTTCCACCTTTCAAAATTTGATTTCCGGAAACTTTTGTGATCAATGATTTTTTGAAACGTCTCGTCCTTCGATCTCCGGAAACTTCCGGATCACGGTTAGCGAAAAATCCAGAAATCTGGATTTTTCCGGAGCACAATCAGCCTTGATTTTTTAAAACTTCTGCACATCAGGGTGCAGATTTTTCGAATCGGAAATTATATCGCAATATTTGAGAGAAATATTTTGCGGAGTATACTTGGTGGTAAAAATGAAAATAATAACTGGAGAAGTAGATTTAACTTTGATCTTTACAAATTTATAAACAACATATTATTAAAGACATAAAAAAAAGTAGAATGAATTGGATGATGACAATACAATAAAAAAGATATTGCTTTTTAGACACACTAGAACCAGAAAGCGGTGAAGGCCACGGTCGGGATGGGCTGATTCGATGGAGTCTTGATTTTCTAGCAATTAATGAAAAGAATTGGAGGGGAAAGATAAATCGTAAGTCATTATGGAGAAATCTTCAGAAGAAAGCATTAGCCCACATTGGGCTGTCTGGCCAACTATGATGAGCAATCTAACAAATTGAAGTGCAAATATATAAGAAGAATATATATAATTAGGAGAAAATATATAAAGGTTTGAAACTCACCTTGAACTTCATAAATGTCATATTCATTGGCTTTTAACAAAGGATGAGAGAAACAGAGCCAAGGCAATTGCTTCCTCATTTGTGGAATGATATAATGAAGTAAGAATCCCCAAATAGTTACAGCAATGTGAAGGACCATTTGAAAGTATGGCTGGAAAGAAGGAAATCAGGTAGATGTAATAAAAATATTTTAAAAGCAATACTTTTTAAGTCCAATTAATTCCAATTTATTACCTGGAAAACAGTGAAGACAGTGCTGACATGAATGGCAAACACAAGTACCGCAATAAAAACGCACAGGATGGCATCTGAGCGCAATCGAATTAACTGCAATAAACATACTGTTAATATAATATTGCAATAAAAATGATAAAGAAAAATGAAATTGTACGAAAAATAAGTTTTTTGCTTGTTTGTTTGCAATAATTATATAGAGACGATCCATTGAACGTTAATACTTTTTGAAAGGATTGGAAAAGAAATAATAACTCAGAACTAAATAAAAGATTGAAGGAAATTTAAAAAAATGTTATTATTCCACAAAAAAAAAAAAAAAGAATTCTTACCACAGTATTCTGCAATTTCAAGGGTAAGGGGTCTACTAACTCAGTCCCATTATCTTCTTTACTTTTCTTCGGAGCATCCTCTGACCACAAATGGCACTTTATTAAGGACCTAATTATATAATCAAAATGCATTTAGAGTTGTAAATTAGGGTCACAAATTGAAATACATTTGTATATTAATGTTGATACATATTCAGCAGAATCATACAAATACAATAAAACTAATAATTACAATGCAAATTTCATGTTCAGTTTAATGACTGATTTTCATTATTTATATAGGGAGATGGGGTGTGAGGAACATATGTCTCAAGTATGATACTGTGAAGAGAGAATCACGAGACATGGGATTGCTGGAAAAAGAAATTACCTGAATTTTCTTTTTAATTCTTAATTTTTTGATCTTTTTGCACAAAGAGAAAAATAAAACACTGTCATTTTCATGCATACATAAAAGAATATATATATAATTAAAAAAGGCTTAATGACTAGACCAAGAGTAATTCCAAAGAAATTGCACGAAATGGATACGTCGAAAAGGGGTCAAAAAGGGGTGCGTTACAAGATTCGTGCTTTATAACATATAATATTGCATTAAAAATATCAAGAATTTTAAAAATCAGTGAAAATAAATATTGAATACTGCCAACTAATTGATAGGAAAAAAAAAAGAATTTATCGTGTCAAATAGTCAATACTCAGGTGCGCGATCTCAAATTTTCCGCATAAAACGGAATTTGCAACAAAACAACTCGTTGAAACATAGTTTTAAAAAATGATAAGAAGAAAAAAAAAAAGCTTTTCTAGTGAATGATCTTTTTAATGTTTGCCATTTCAGATTTACTCCTCAGATTATAAATTTCATACTTTTGTGTTTGCTTTAGTAGTTCATTAATTCTAGCTGAAGTGAATAAGGATTTTTTTTTCTCAGTCTAGCGTTGTTAAAATTTATCCAGAGTTGCGTTAGCCGAGATTGTCCCAAGAATATCATAGCATTTGTACGTGAACAAGACAAATAAAGATCAAAGTTTCAATAGTAAATGATTTATTTTATAAGCATATTAAACTGATAGACAAACATAACATACTCTAATAAACAGAGTGACGAATCAGCAACAAAAAGAAAGAATACAAAATAATCTGCTTGAACTTAAATACTCTTATTTCAGAGATAAGGGATGATGACATGATTCACACATGAACAACCAACAGCAAATGAAAATAAACTGGCAGAGCCCCACAGACCATGATGTTACCGACGAAAGTTGAATGCATGAGATTGTCATCTTAGACAGGACTAACGAAGATCGAAACTTTACTTTTTTTTATATTTTATTTTACAATCAATCAAAATACAAACTCATTAGCATTTATTTATCTAACATCTGTCTCAAACAAATCTGATTAAAAAAAGTTGTTATAGTGTGTGAGTGAGAACTTAAGAAGATCAAAAAAAAAAAAGTTTTGGTAATGGCGGAATAAATGTCTTGTTAACGAGATTTTGCATAAATAACGAAATTTAAATTCTAGATCTCGGAGAAAATTTTTTTGTTCTATAAACTATTGATTTGTAGAAATGACAATCTTGAGATTCGCAGAATTCGTAAAATTGTGGAAGAATCATATGCCTACATCTTGTATATACAGGTCCTGAACAGGTTAAAATTTCTTCTGATATTAGACTCAGGATGGTTAAACAGCTTGCCCATATATGGAAATTTAAGAGACCAATAAGTAAGGTAGAGCCTTTGAGTTGGAGGGTCAGAAATGCCCAGAGTAACGTTTTACATCTGTTTTTCAAGAAATTCTCTGTTTTCGGGTCTCGCATAACATTAGTTCTTTTTAGATTAAATGTAATGAATGAAACCAAGATTAAGTGTAATTACCACAAAACAGTAGGATCACTTGCATTACGGCTCAGGTGATAACTTAAAGATACTAGAAGACCACAATAAATAGAAAACATTATGTTTTGAGATGGATTATTTGGCTCCTGCAAAAATAAATGAATAAATTAAATAATTTCACAACATTATTTCCTAAATAATCAATATCCATTACAGGAGGCATTAAAAAAATTACTGATTTGTATGCCTCCTTAACAAAATTTTAAAAACAAAACCCTTATTTATTATTAAAAAGAAAAAAAAAAAGATGCCAGAAACACTTTTTCAGAAAATTGTTAAGAAGCAATACGGCTAAAGCAAGGCAGATAACTCTAAATTTTTAAAGAATTTTAACTTTTGTAGCATCAGTAAAAGGTTATTTGTTAATATATGCAGTAATGTTTATAAATATTTCAAAACTAATAATTTACATAACTATTTTAAAAATTACCTAAATACAATAAATAATATTCATCAATTAATGCATTTTTGTTTATCATTGAAAAAAATTTCCCAATTTTCGAAAAGGAGAACCATATTAACTTTTTAATATCCTATATCGTTTTAAATTAAAAATACTTTCATGTATTCTTTTTTTAACTAATAGGGCTGCACTAATTTTTTAATAGACTTCAAGGCTTTTGCATTCATTTGATAATAAATTATTCTTTTCAAAAATTATAAAATTAAATCCAACATTATTAAATAGTAATTTAACATAAATTTTTTTCCCTTTTGTTTTCTTTTAAGGTGCATTGCAAACTAACTCTCAACAAAATATTCATCAAAAGTTTTTTTCGCAATTGGATATAAAAAGTCTGATACTTTTCAATGACAAACTAAATCATGCCATAACAAAAGCATACATAGATACATACATAGATTTTCTCCTCCAAATACAAATAAATCTAAAACTAGAACTTTAAAATAAGAATACATGGATATGAAATGTATTTTAGGATAATTTCCCAGATTAAATTTGAATGTTCAGTTTATTAAAATGTATTTAATTTTATAGAGCACACAAAAGTGCAATTTCTAAATTTAAAATGTTAGTGCATACCAGAGAAAGACAATACATATCTCGATACATAGTTTACATATGAGTATTACACCTCAAAATTTTTACCTGGATTGAAAATAGTCCTAGTAAATTTTTTGTTACTTATTTTCTTTCCCTGCTGTTGAAGAAAGCCTTAGAAAATCAGTCAGAGAGAATGACTTCCTTCAGAAAACTAATTGCTCTAATACTGACAATAACAGGAGATGCTTTAGAAAAAAATTTTGCAACTAAAAATAGTTCTAAAAAGTTAAATTTTGGACCAATTATTTAACTTTTCCAAATTGTTTTGTGAAGGAAACTTTTTTTCTTCTTTTTGAAATGTGACAAAAATATCAAAGATGCTGTATAATAGTAGGAACAAAGTTGAAATTCTATATACTTTATTAATATTTCTTTGATACCTTAGTCTATTTAACTTGTAAAGAGTGAAAAAAAAGGTTAAATAAAGTGAGATGGAATAATGTTTTTTATTCAAGCAATAATTCTTGCATCATAACTATGATGAAATGACAGATAAGCACTATCTCTTGAAATTAACCCCTTTACTTTAAAAATCATGTCTCAAAAATTAACAAAAGAGTAAACTCTAAAACATTTTATAACACTGGTACTTACTTTTAAAGCAAAACATGCAAATCCGTATAATACAGCAATAGTAGCTACACTTCTAATCAAACAGTACAAAGCAGATACTAAACTGGTAGTGGCTGAAAAAATAACAAAAATGTCAACATTATTTAACACTCAACGATGAAACATTTTACTCATTAACATTAAATATAATATCAATAATATATGAAAAGGCTTACCAGTTCCACCAAAAAAATGGATATCAATTTGTTCTATCAGGTACATCAGGAATGTATTAACTTGGGGCAATAATCCCAAACTGAAGATCACAGGAAAAAATAACACAAAAACTAGAAAAGAGTTGCAAATTAATTATTTCTATTTATTTATACCGTACAAAAATTAAACAAGATCTTGCTTAAAAATATTAAGTGTGAATTTTATGCGAAAGTAGAATTTTACAACATTGAAAATAAAACACAATATTTCACATTTTTAGCTAATTGCTATTGTACTGTAACTCATTAAACATTACATCAAATATACAGAATTTTGCTATAATGAAAATAACACTAGTGTACATTTTGGGCAATAGGTAACAATACCAGAGTTCTCCCTATGAATGAAAAAGGGCTTCCTTCTGGAAAGGGCACTCATTTAACACTGTAAAAATTTATCAAAATGTGCAATGTTACGTAATATAAAACTAAATTTGATAATCAACAATTTTTAAATTATCCTCTTTTACTATTTTATGTGTCTATTTCAAAAAGTAATTTTCACTCGTCATAAAAATGTGAGAAAAATGTATAGTTTATAAAAATAATTATAGGAACGCTAAAAGATAATTGCTACGTATACATTGTTTAAAAAAAAAAATTTAAAAAATTAATAAACAACTCGAAAGCTTTTTTTCTATAACTTAAACTGAAAATTATGAGAAAATGATCATTTAAAGATGCATTTAATAAAAAAGGTACTTATTTCTAAAATAATTTTAAAATTTAAAATCAGATAAAAATTCATTAATATAACCACCTCAGCCCCAAAAAAGAGGAACTTAAATTTAACCAATTGAGAATAATCCTAACAAAGTAAATATTTGTAATAGTAATCTGAATTAAACCTACCTACACAGAGATAATTTTACCATTGAGTAATTTTTTTTTAAAACTATGAACCCTTTATCGACTGCATTATGAACTACAGAAAATTTTTTCATAAATATAATTTTTCCTTAGCTGCAATATGTATAAGTTAAGAATATACAAGAAAAAAAAATCTCACCGGTGCGAAATTTAATTTGTTAGAACTAATTAATTAAAGAGGTACTTAAAAGTACCACTTAAATTAATTAGTTTAAAGTGATTGGTACTTATAAGTACTATCAGCAAATAAAAGATTAAATGGGACATGAATAAGAATGCAGTATTTTTAAGAGATGGCGCCTTATTTTTACGAAAAGGCAAATAGGCATTTATAAGGGTCAAAGGCCGCCTTTCTAAAAACGCTTAGGGAGAACACTGATGATGATTAAAAAGCAAAAAAGTTGAGGTCACTATACCACAAGAAAAACGTTTCATGGAAATTCTGTCTATTAGTATTTTAAAATTTAAATAAAAGTAAATTTAGGTTTACCATTAAGTTTAAAATGCAAATTTTTTTTTCTTTAAAGTATCAAAATGCAAAAAAATTTTTGCAGAATTACTCCACAGTGTAATCTTGAGTTATCCTGTTATAATTATTTTAAACTTTGATGCTCTTGTTGATGTGTGGCCTGCAAGTTTCATAAATCCAAGCGATGTTTTGAATGCTTTTTTATGGCATTTATAACTACCAATTTCCATGTGGTTTCTAAATTCTGATACATTAATTACGATATTGCTACTCGTAAGTTATAAATCGTGTATCTAATTTATAACTTTTTGACGTGCTTTATTAATGCCGATTTCATTGTAAATCTAAATTACTTTCTGATTATTTTTCTTTTTCTAAAGGCAGTTATTGCCAGACTTTTTTACATGATTTTAAAAATCTCCTATTGTTACCACGATATTATTACGATACACGAGTTTAAAATTAAAATTGCACATTTAAGTAATCACTTGCGCAATTTGTTTTTGTCTATTTTATCATAAGCCCAAGTTATCTTTCAATAATTTTTTTCGGCAGATCTTGCGATGCATTCCCACATGGTTTTAAAAGTTTTAACTTTCATCACAACATCGGAATTTTAAACCACGCATTTACAGAATTATTTATTGGTGCACTTTATTCAGGCTGATTTCAACATAAATCTATAAGATTATTTTTGCAGTGTTTTTGACAATACTGTTATTTTAACTCCGATGTTATTACGACACACGAGTTTCTAATTATGCATTCGAATAATCACTTTTAGATACAATTTATTTGTGCTTAGTTCATTGTAAATACAAGTTATTTTTTATTAGTTTTTTCAGCATTTAATGTCATGCACTTGCACACGGTATTTAAAATCCTAATATTTTAATACATTATAGCAGCATGAAAAATTTAAAAGTGAAGGAAAACATGAATTTTTAAACTGCTCACTGTTTGTACTTTTTGAAAAATTTTTTTGAAGCTTATGCGATTTTTTTAGGAAAAAAAAAACGAAAAAGAAAATGTCTTCTATTTAAAACTCATGAAACTTCTAATAATTCAAGAAATAGAAATAATATCTGAAGTATAAATACCAAATGAATATTGAATCTTATTTTGTACCATAATGGTTTTGCTATAATTTTGGTTAAAACCCTATAAATTTTCTTTCGTTAAAATATTTAATTCAAATTTATATTATTCATTAAAACATGCATGATTTTTTTTCACACTTTCAATCTGTGAGCATTACAGTTTTTTTTTTTTTTTTACAGTTACAGTTTTTGTTTAGAATTGTTTATATAAAAATTAACACATTTGCCACCAATATGACTAAATATAAGTGCAGCCCTTCATTAGTCAATCCGCTGTGCATGGCGCCTTTCACTCGAAAAAATTGCCAATCCCTACTCTAAGTTAACCTGAACTTCCTTTTTATACACCTAAATTTCAGATCACTTATGCAGGTAAAAGGGGATTTGCTATGAAGAGTTCCTTTAGATATCCTCTTACACAACTTTATTAAGAACTAAGATTTTGAATCATTACAAGTTGAAAGCACTCAGACATGGTAGAAACACTAATTTAACAGTTGAAGTTTAAATGTTTACTTTCGAAATATATTAATTTGAAGGAAAAAAACTCACGGACAACTATATCTTTGGCTTTGATGATAAGATCAGTGGAGAGGAGAGCGATCCCATAGAGTGTAACTGGTGGTAATGTCAATCTGTAGTCAATACTTGTTTGCAACATATTCAAAAGCAAACAACAAATGCAGAAATAAACAGGTCTACTGTACAATATCACTCTGTTGTATCCCTAATTAAATAAGAAATATAACTTAAATAAATGGCTTCTTTACAGTTATAAAAGAAAAACAGCAATTTAAGTTGATGTAGTTGAAAAACTCACATGAGTAGGAGAAGCTGCATCTGGTTGCACACTCTGCAAATAAAATAAAAAATAAATATTTTTGAAGCGTCCAATTATAAATCATTGAATACAAGATATGAATATGTTTATGTTAAGTTTAAAAAACCATATTTCTTCTGAATGAAACAGCTTGTGAACAGTTTATAAATAAATTAAACTTGGATTAACTATATAGTATTCAGAAGATTTTTAAGGATGGTTGTTTCATTCAAAACTTAATCACAGTTTATTGATAACTAATAGTTATACAACAATAAATTTTTAGCTCAATATTGATTCATAAATTTTAATTGTAACCAAAATATTTCATAATTTAGTTTTTATAGAACATGCTTAGCATTAAATATATGTTGCAATTAAATTTTAATCAGCTATTAAATTGTAAAATATTTTATCACGAAAAAAATTTATTTATCTCTTTTAATGTATTCTTATGAGTTTTAATTGGTAAGTTATTCAATTATTAGAATAGACTTCAGTTTCTAAAAATGCTTTTACAGACTTAAAAAAAAAAGAAGCTTTATTAACAATTCAATTTTTAAAATAACAGCCTTATGAAACAGCACAATTATTTATAACAGCACAATTATTCCATGTATTTCATGTTAAATATAATCAATTTCTTTTAAATTTAGAATTCAATTTAATTACAAAAGAATTTATGTTTCATATTTTAACAAAAATTTTATTACAAATTCAATAAACATTTACATTTCATTGGCGTGCAATACATAAATATATAATCAGACAGTCGTGTTATTTACAACACATCTAATGATATTATTATACATAATATTGTTTTTGATATTCTGCTGGGGAATTATTTGGTCAAATACTGTATTTGGTTTGTAAGGACAAATGCCGAATATTCGTCACAGAGCACGAATACACAGAATATTTGTTGCATAGCATGCAACAAATATTCTGTGCATAATGATTTAAAAAGACGCATGAAAAATAACATTTTTAAAAAGTCAAGGTAATGATATAATTTTGTTAAAATAATATAAGTCAATTCTTAAGAACAGAAGCTCAAATCAGAGCAGCCTGATAATTTATTTAAAAATTAACTGGTCAAAAAAATCTTAAGTTTATAAGAATAACTTTAATTGATGATATTTTTACAATTTGTATATTCTTTATTTGAGTTGAAACAGTATTTTTTCTAATTTAATTATATTCCTTTAATTCAGGGTTGGGTTTTTGACGTCAAAAAGTGGTTTTTGACATGACAAGGGGGTATAATNAAACCATGCATTAAACTGTCAAAAACTGTCACATGTCAAAAACCTGCCAACCCTGCTTTAATTATATTATCAGTTTTCTTAATTGAAAAAAAAAAAAACATTTAGAGAATTAAAAAAAAAAAACCTACATAAATAAAGTATTCTTATAAAGTACCTTGAGCAAAGTATATTGACAACTAGCGATGATAAAACAAAAGATAAAAGACCACATGTCTTCAAACATATTTCTAGAGAGACTTAAAGCACCAAGGGCAGCTACCAGCACTGCCAGTATTATAGATATCACATTTTCAGTCACTGTAAGGTTCCTGAAAAAATAAGATCTTTTCTATAATAACATATATTTAAATAAACTATAGCTCATATTTTGATGACTTAAAATAAAATGGCTCATGAATTTAAGCTTTATGATTTGAAATCTGAAAGTGGATACACTGCACTAAATATTATAACAAACTCTAAATAAAAAAAAATCAAGCTATCTTAAGTATATTGCAAAAGTCAAACTAAAATCAGATAAAAATAAAAAAATGAATTTGTTAACTATACTTACTTGAAAAATGCACATCTATTTAAAGCAGAAAACATTTAACATTAAAGGATAAAATAGGAACAACAAAAAAGCATTTGTTATTTTAGAAAAAGAGGACTGCATTAAAAAATAGATGCAGAAAGAAAATTTTTACAATTAAAAAAATTTTTTTTAAAAAAAATAAAAGTAATTTTTATGATAGTTCTGTTTTTCAATACAATTTAATTTCTTCATCGTATGATACTGATTAAGAATTAAAAAGTTTATCTCACAACTTTAAGTTTATAAATTAAACAAAATGAGCAAAAATACAAATTTTTTTTTTAATTTGCAGACCTGAAATGATTATACATAAGTTTATAAATAAAATTAACATTAATTGGGTATACATAACCTTTTTGGCTGCATAAACAAATGTTAGGTTTATGGAGTACAGTAAATTAGTATATTAATTATTTGTTACTACAAGAGTGTACAATCATATAGAATCACGTGGTGGATGACAAAATGCCATGTTCTGGGTAAATATTCACATGAAGTTATAATAATAAAAATTTGGATTGTCTTTAGATTTTTTTGGAAATAAAAAAAGCTTAACAGATGTATAACAATTGTTTTACACAGGCATTGATAATAAAAAAAATATTTATTGTAAATAAATCTATGCATAGATAGTTATAAGACCACAAAGTTAATCGCAACAAATTACAGGAACAGACATACCGAAAATGGGAAGGGGAAAAAAAAAACCGAAAGCTAATTTCTTTTTATTTACCTACGAATTAAAATTTTAAAATTATTGCCAAATAAAATTTCTCCTTAATTATGAAAGCTAAGCTAGATCAGCATATTTCAGTAATAGAGTACAACTTAAAAAAAAAAAAAAGTTTAAAAAGAAAAGAATTTTGCAATTTTCTTTCTCTTTACATGTTTTGTTAATCTATGAGATGCTTCAGGGGCTGAATAAGAACATAATCAATGTCTTAAAAATAAAAAACAATTCCGTGACTTTTCCAGGTATATCAGGTAAATTTCAATGAAAATCCAGACCATATTCTATCTACAACATGAAATTTGTTTACCAGAAAACTTCGTTTTTTTTTATTTGTAATATCAAATATTAGATTTTATTAGCAAAAACATATAAAAGAATGAGATCGGACACCTGGAAAAGTTTCACTAAAAGGTGGAACTTTAGAAAGTAATTTTATGTTTCAAATAGATGTTAGAATTATTTAAATCAAATCTCAATAACCATTTACTGTTATTGACTATTCTAAGATTGGCTATTTTCCAGGAATGATACAGGAATATTCTAGTTCTTTCTTTGTAAAAAATTGCAATTTTCCTGCTTTTTAGAGTTAAAATAAAATTTCCAGACAATTCCAGGTTCTCCCCCCCCCCGACCAGTTAGAGCCCTGCATACCATATTTTTTTTATTTAAAAAACAAAACAAAAAAACATAAGAAGTTGTGGATTCTTAACACTCATAATATAAGAAAGATTTATAAGAATAATTTACATTGATTACTAGCAATATTATTACCTGTCCAGCAGGGCCAACAGAGCAAGACGATCAAATCGTATTTTAATAAACTTAAAAGGAAGCACCCAATAACGATAGTAGTGCTTGGGTTTTGGCGGTCTTATTCTTGTCATGTCAGAGAAGCGTATTCCTGCACACCCGACATCTGTGTCTGTCCCAGCCTGAGAGCTGGCTGCTTGGGAGAGATTGGAGAGTGTAGCAGGAATAACGGTTGTCGAGTGTCTACTTGTTTGTGTGGGGGCTCTTATGGATCTAGTCCTTGTGTATTCTCCATTTCCATCTATTCTGTAGGTACCCCCTCTAATAGAATGCACTAAATGAGGTCCTTGTGCAGGAAAGTCTAAAGATGAAATTCTTGGACTCATTCCTTTGTTGGAGTGCAAGACAGAGGCAGGACTCTCTAGAATGACGGTCGAACGCGAGCTGGAGGATGAGTGGGAAGCTGTTTCCCTGCAAAATAAAGATAAAATTTGAATTTAAACATGAAAATAAACGTCAACAAAATAAAATGCCAACTTAAATTATAATACAAAGATAAAATTATTTAAAATTACATTGTACAAAAATTACATTTAAATTTAAACATGGAAATAAATGTCAACTAAATAAAGTGATAACTTAAATTAAATAAGCAACTGGTCAATTTCCCGCTCGTTTTTATTTATTGAAGATCATTCAATAATAAAAGTAAATCAATAATCAATGCAGAAAGACTCTGAAAAACAATTTTTTTTTTTAAATGTCCAATCTTTCCATTCGAAATTTTGATCCTTCAGAATCCATCAATTTGTGGTGGAAAGATTCAAGTCGAAGGACATAATTAATTATTAAGGACATTAACACAATTTTGCGACACATTAATCACAAACAGAATGTTGGAATTTTTAGTTACTGAAAAAGCAATTTTGGATTAAATAGTTCAGATTAGCAAGGTTCTACTATAATTACTTATTGATGTTCTACTAAAGAAACAATTTACCATTTAGAATCCATCATGAACTCCAAAAGTTTAACATCAGCAGCCGTACTTAGACCCCTAGCAATTCCAGTGCTGTTTTCATCAAATGTATAGGTTAACCAATTTCCTACAACAACAAAATAATATGATATCAAGTCAAAAATGAACTCTTCTACGAAAGGGACTTATCAAAAGATGAATTAGCTAAAGCTACATTGATGGCATCATAAACCAGATAATGTGTATAATTTTATACCCTTTTTATTTGTATTTTTAATTCATATTTTAATTTCCCTTCAATAAAATATTTTATTAATAAATATTTCATATATTCATCATTGCTTTATTTATTCTTATTATATGATGTACATTATGCTTATATAAAGTACATCATATAAGTTTTCTTTCTTCTTTTTTTTTACACATACACACTCTATTAGTTCATTTTTCAGCGATGCAATCAAAATGCAGCATTTCTAAGTATATATCGATCATCATTGAGCAATAACAGCCTGATTGCAGTTTGAAGGAAATTTGGAATTTTGTAGGAGAATATTAAAAAATAAATCTAGGCTAATAACCTCTAAACTATGGATTGTAAGCAAACCAATACCACAGCAAATTATGTTCTTTATAGACATTGATGGCACCATATTGAAATCTGAAAGTTATTCTTAAACTTTGCGCAACTGTAGAAAATGAATCAAAATTACCATGCTCATCTTGGAAGCAATGAATAGCTCCAGGTGATGTGTCATTATGAGAGCTTGCAAGGTGTGTACCAGGAGTTGAAAGCAAATTGGCAAGAAGATATGCAGGAGGACCTTGAGTGGATATCTTTTTGGGGGACATCCAACTTGTACTGCCGCTATCCTCCCTGAAAGTGGACATCATTAGTTACTACATAATAAAACATATAACCCGTGGAAAAGATTAAAAAAGAAATAATAATATGAATTAGTTTTTCAAACAAAATATAATTGTAGTTCGTAAGTCATATTATATCGTTAAGTGGGAATGGGCATTAAAATCTGCTAGGCATTTTACCAGGCCTCTTATCCTTGGGCAACAACTAGATTTGTTGGTATTTTGTTGTGAATAAAAAAGTGGCTTTAGGATGAGTATTGATTGAATATAGAGCTTAATGACACCAGAAAAGAAAATACTTCGCCAAATACAAATAGCTTTATATACTCAAGGGGACAATAACAAAAAGTGTTATAGACTTATTCGGAAGAAAACAAACAAAAGGAATCACTAGGGTGCTTTGGGAACCTGTATTGTTTTGAAGAAGGCAAGAGCAGATTCATGCAATAATCAAGATGGAAGAAAATAAATCATTTTTAAAAAAAAGCTCACCCATCATCTGTTGCTCCAGGCAACAAAGATGATGCTTCTGGAAGACCATCCGGCGTCCTTCTCCTCCTGGCCACAACTTTAGATCTCTTAGGGAGAGAGGCTTCTGAAATAAGATTAGTGAAAATTATTACCTACACATGTTTAACACTCCATATACAATTTTTTAAACAACCTATTAAATCAGGAATTTTAATGTTAAGAAATGGCTGGAATCTCTGAATTTCAAGCATTTTTAGACTAATTTTTTATAATATTTGGTCAGTTGAGATGGTAGTGGATATTAATTTAGAGGTCTGCATTAGTAGTTATGCAAACTACCACAAAAAAGATTTAAGATATTTCATAATATGATGGCACTAACTAGTAGTGCTTGGGNCTTAAGCCATAAATGGATTCAGCCCAAGGACAAAATTTAAAAACAGAAGCTAATATCCTAATCCCTTCTTCAACCTCTCCCACAATCTTTCCTAAATTGCACAGTCCATAGCTGTCAAAGGTTTCTACATTCGTTTAGCAACAGTGGGAGAATTTTATGTGGCATTCTAGTTTAACAGAGCTGTAATGGAGCAAATTTTGATGCAAGCAAAGTATTGCTAAATTGATGATATTTCAACTGCTTGAAGATACATTTCCATCTAAAAAAAGTGGGTATAATGAACGAAATAATTTAAATTGAGAAAATTAGTAAATAATTTAAATTAGTGAAATTAAAAAAAATTCCAGCTTTTTTTTAAAATTCCTTGATTTTTCCAGGTTTTTTCCAGTATAAAAAAATTCCCTGATAATTCCAGGTGGGTGGCCACCCTGTTATAATATTTGGCCAGTTGAGATGGTAGTGGATATTAATTTAGAGGTCTGCATTAGTAGTTATGCACACTACCATAAAAAAGATTTAAGATATTTCATAATATGATGGCACTAACATTGTACATTAGCTGTGATATTTTTAACCATATATTCATTCAGTACGCTATTTATAGTCTAAATAAAAGTTTACAATGAACTACTCCAATGTCCTTTAAGATTTTCTATCCTTGCAAGCTTTTTTCCAACATGTTTATTACTATATCCTCCATTAGAGTGAACTAGAAATCCATACCTTTACTAAAAGTTTATATTAACACTTTTATGCATAAGTTTAGGCTTTTTACAGTGTGTCACAAATGTAGAACTTACCTTTGGTTCGACTACTTTCTGAAGTTTGAGCACTACAGCTGGGGGGCAATTTCCCTACAATAAATAATATTTAAAACATATCAATATATACTTCTACCTTTCTTTCTAATTCAAACTCTTATTTTAATCATGTTAAAACACTACTTGAAACAGAGTATTTTTAAATAAAATTTCTTCAAACATATCTTTAGGTTTCATAGCTCAGTTATGATACATAAATATGGAAAATAAGTTTATATTCACATACAGTAAAATTTGGATAATTCAGAGTTAAAGGGAGCAGAGAAAAAGAAAACATTGATATTATATTTATTCTCTGAAATAGCAAAGATAAATAAAAATAAAAAAACTCCATGAAAAATGAAACAAATGAAATTAAATTTATAATGCTAAGACAATTTTTTCATTTAATCAAATATTATTTGCTAGCAGAATTATTTATCACTTTTTAGAAAAAAAGCAGATAAATTTTTTGCATTTTAAGTAATGCATAAGACAGTCTGCTTCCTTCTAAGGATTCTACTTTTCAAGTGTTAAATATCTTTTCAGCAAATGCTAATTACTTTTTAGAAGTGTTAGCTTTTGATGTGTTGAAATGTTATATTTGCATTAAATGATTCACAAAATGCGTATGAATCACTAACATCAAAAATATAGTTGCACTTTTGGCATTCTACCTGCCTTTTAAGATTTTTCTCACACCAGTTATAAATATTTTATTTGCAAATTATCATGACAAACTGTCAAAAAATTTAAGTATATTTACTTTTCATGTCTAACTCTTGTTTTAACTTTCGAAGCTCATGTTCACATTCATTAGGGTCAGTTTTACTCAATATCTCTAGCAAGCGTTGACTCAGAAGAATTTTTTCTGCTGGTGACATGGGACCTTGTAAAGTTTGCTTGGTACCTGAAAAAAAAAAGCATTTCTTTCAAAAGACTCTGATAAATTTGTAGTTTACTTGCTAGTGCAATTAGTAAAAATTACAGTAAAATTTGAAATAACAAACACTTATGCTTATTGTATATTTTTTGATAAAAGAAAAAAGATCCATTATATGGTCATACTTCTTTCCTTTGATGAAGTATCGTTTCTTCTATATTTGGGGATGGCACCTTGAGATCTACGGGAAGATGTTTCGAGAGGAGTTGTCTCATCTGGAGATGAGATTGTACTGTCAGAGTTTCCATCAAAATTACTTCGCAACAGTTGACTGTCAGCACTTAATGTAGTTGTAACATCATCATCATCATTGCTGATACATTGTGATGGCAATACTGCAAAACAAAATAGGTAAAAAGTTTGGAGGAGTCTTAAGAGGTTAGTGAAAAACTAATTTATTATTGATACAATCACCATTAAAGCAAACAAAAAAAGAAATTTTGATTATTATACAGAAATATTAAAATAAATAATAAAATAATTAAATTTTAAAAATTTTATATAAAATTGCTTGTAAATTATTTTTAAAAAATGCAACAAAGTTATGTAGTAATGCAAAATAAAATGTAGTCATGCAAAATGTGTATAGGAAAAATAATGTGTATGTAGTAATGCAAAATGTGTATAGGAAAATCTCATATTTTATAGCTTAAAAATTACCAGTTCTCTAAATTTAGAGCAAATTATATCAGGGAATGCAAGATTTGACACACACCTACAACNATCCATTATATGGTCATACTTCTTTCCTTTGATGAAGTATCGTTTCTTCTATATTTGGGGATGGCACCTTGAGATCTACGGGAAGATGTTTCGAGAGGAGTTGTCTCATCTGGAGATGAGATTGTACTGTCAGAGTTTCCATCAAAATTACTTCGCAACAGTTGACTGTCAGCACTTAATGTAGTTGTAACATCATCATCATCATTGCTGATACATTGTGATGGCAATACTGCAAAACAAAATAGGTAAAAAGTTTGGAGGAGTCTTAAGAGGTTAGTGAAAAACTAATTTATTATTGATACAATCACCATTAAAGCAAACAAAAAAAGAAAAAGAAAATTTGATTATTATACAGAAATATTAAAATAAATAATAAAATAATTAAATTTTATATAAAATTGCTTGTAAATTATTTTTAAAAAATGCAACAAAGTTATGTAGTAATGCAAAATAAATGCAAATGGTAAACATCACACATCTTTTGGATATCTTAGATTTGTATTATACGTTTGTTTTTAACAAGTTTTTTCCCCCCTATTGGATAGTGTATAGGAAAATCTCATATTTTATAGCTTAAAAGTTACCAATTCTCTAAATTTAGAGCAAATTATATCAGGGAATGCAAGATTTGACACACATAAGTTTTTGCAAATTTAACCAAAGATGTAAGTGCCCTATCCTATTCAAAACCCTCAAGTTACATTATGGATTTAGACTGAAATACTCCGGGTTCACATTCAAAAAGAAGAGATTTTTCCCCCAGCCTTTTCCATATAGATTTACAGAAAATTCCAATAATTAAAAAAAAAACAAAAAAAAACAATGAAATTTATATTTATTAAAAACGTAAATCAAAATTATAAATAAAATTGCAACTCTAAAAAAAATTAATAAATTATTTTTATTGGAAAAAAAATCAGGCAATTAAAATTATGACAATTCTGTTTAGAAAAAAGAAACTGTCAGAATTATAAATGTGAGTAGAAGGGAAAATAAGACTGAAGGAATTTACTAAGCAATATTAAATAATTTTTTTAAAAAAATCTATAAATAATCTGTGCATACTTGTTAATTGCTAAGCTAAATAGTAGTTAATCAATGCAAGAACATTTTATAGAATAAAAAGGCAATAAACGACTAAAAACATGCAATAAACAATTAATATATAAGAATCGTCTAAAAAATTAATTTTAGGAAAAATAAGCACCAATAAGAGTGCAAAAAATTTTATTGAGTGATACTAATTTAAAAAGAAATTTATTAAAACATACTTTTAAGATTAAATATCAAACCATCTTAAAAAAGAAACCAAGAAATATATAAACAATCCATATTTAATTAAAGTTAATCCATATTTATTACCATACATATTAAGTTAAACCAAATAGGATAAATAACTAAAAAAAACAATGCTTTTTATCAACTAACAAGCAAAAATAAATAAATTTAAAAAAAAAGTAAAATGTTTAATTCTTATCTATAAAATAAATAAATAAATTATCCTAAAATATGAAGAAAAAAAACTCTTATTAATCAATAAAATAAAGGAACAACTTTTTAACAACTATAATACATCCTAAAAGAATAATAAAAAAACTAAGTTAATAAAAATTTATACAAATCCGTATTTTATTCAAATTAAATCATACTTAAACAACTCATGAACGTTTTATAAGAATAGAAGAAAAAAAATTGCAATATGTTAAGATTGTCTATTAAAAAATGAATAATAAATAAGATTGCTAAATGGATAGAAAAATATAAATTAAGACAGTAAAACCATGAAAGTAATGAAAAAATTTAAAAAAAAAAACTTACTTTAATGATAAATACCAAATAAAATAAATAAATAATAAAAAATAAATAAATATATATATAAGTAAATTGTATTCATTTAATTGAAGTTAAGCCAAATTACTCAAAATATAGATGAATCAGAAATGTATCACTTGTAAAAAGAGGAGNAAATGAAGGTAAGGTAAACATCTTTCAAAAAAGAAAGAAAAATCCTAAAATCTTATGAGGGAAATTTTTTTTTTTTAAAAATGGCGGGAAAATTTATCGAATTTTGTTCCGGTTTTTTGGTTTTCCGATTTCCAGATAACGGGTTCTGTACTGTATATATATAATTGTATGCTTGTATACATAAACCATCTTCTTTTAGAAAAAGAAAAAATATTATAAAAGCAGACAATTTTTAACAGAAGCAGATGTGTGTCTACACCAGGCAAAAGTTGCAAATGATAGTGCATCCTAGAATTCATTTCATTAAAAAATATTGTTTCTTGAATAGATATCAAATAAATAAACAGAGCTGATGATAAAAAAAAAAACATTTTGTTTGTAATAATTAATGTATTATCCAAAATTATAAAACAATAATTCATCATAATAAATCAAGGATTACAAAAATTGAGAAAAAAAAACTTAACATGTCACAGGGTTGGGTTTTTGACGTCAAAAAGTGGTTTTTGACATNGGTTTTTGACGTGACGGTTTAAACCATGGTTTAAACTGTCAAAAACTGTCACATGTCAAAAACCTGCCAACCCTGACATGTCAATACTTCAAGGCAGAAGTCGCAGACATTTAATTGACAACACTCCAGAAATGCTTGAGAAAAATAGAATCTTGAAGATGGCAGTCAGTCAGGAAAAATTAGGATTACTTTTTTCAATCCTCTATCGCGCGAGTGCAAATTACAGTTGAAAATGGAGGAGTATAATCCCGCAATTTGATAGTGTCAAATTCCCTGAGGGTAAAATTACGCTTTCCATGACTCATTTTCCCTGACAATTTGCAGTTTTCCTGACATTTGCAGTGCATACGAATTCAAAATATTTATCAATTATGCTTCCTAATAATATAATTAGAGAATTAATTAAGTAAAAACCTCTTAAGTAAAATTCCCATTTCATAATTTAAGTAAGGAAGAAATGAAAAAAATCAAATTTATAATTTTTACATTTTTAAAACAAAATTTACTTACAAAAGCAAACTTATTAAAAAAAAAGCAGGTAAAATCAAAATAATGCAAGTGGGATGAAGTGTAATTTTGTTATAAAATCATTATAGAACTCCTTTAACCAATCTTAAATGGCAAAAAAAAAAATTTTACCCATAATATGAGCTAATAAAAAAACTCAACCTAAAGTTATCCACCCAATAATAAAAATAAAATAAAATAAGAAAAAAAAAGACACATTTAAAGAAAATTACAAACCATTAGTGGCAGTATTAAATAGCCAGTCAAATCCAGCAATGCTGCTTTCATCTGACGGAGAAGGTGATGGGCACCTTTTTGAATCACTCCAGGTTAAAAAGGGGATTTGAGTCCTTTCATAGTCTTGGGAGGGTTTGTACACAAGAGTATAATGACTATCATTACTATCTGGAATCGATATAGATAGTGTCTCACTGGAAACAGACGATGCCTCGCTGCCGGCCATTTTATCTATTTTAGGCTCTTCTACTGAATGAATCACAAAATTAATGGCAGAATTATCTTTCACAGTTTTTAAAAGTTCAGTCTCTACACTAGATGGCAAGAGTTTCTCCCCACTAGGGCTCTTAAAACTGGAAGTGCTCTCACTGTACACGGATATGGGATGGCACAGTTGTCTGTCTGAATAGTGGTCTTCGGACAAGCCTAAAGACCTACTACTGCGAGCTGAAAAAGTTCGTATGTGCTTGGACGTGCTGGCAGTTTCCAGCGATCGATGCCGAACCAACGAGCAATTGGATGCAGACGTATTCTCTTCTTCCTGAGAAGATTGCTCGAAGCACGGAATAGAGGAGTTTCCGGTCCGATTATTATCGCCACAACAAGCCTGATGCTCATCACTTAGTTCAACAATAGGCTTTATTGCTTCACTAAAACTAGGGCGTAGAAATTCTACACTTCGCAGTGGCATCACGGGTCGGACGCCGATTCCACTACCACTACTACTGCTTCTTCCAATCATTTCTAAACTTACAGGATGAGAGGGTGGTACACTAGGAGAAGGTTTTTCTGGGCACGTCTCTAACTCACTGTGAGCTCTTCTTACGACTCGTTTGTCTCGTTCTTGTCGAGCTTGGCTTCTATTTCTGCTTCTGGCAATTTCCGCAGCCCGTATGCTCGGATCTTGGGACATAAAGCCTAGCTCTACAGATCCAGTACCCTTCAATAAAGCTTCTGAGCTTGAACTAGATGACAAGCTCAGAGTGCTAGGCAAGTAGTTAGTATGATGATGAGAATCTGAAAGGATATACACAGAGCTAGCAGATACCGCAGCATCTTGAGAATGGCCTAATTTTGAAAATAAATATATAGTTATTTTTAAAGAACCTATTAACACAAAATAAACATACAGGATTATAGTAAAAATTATGATTATCAGGAAAGGGCATATTGAAAACTATTATAGGCAAATATTTGAAGCAAAACAAATACAGTACAGAATACGTTATCCGGAAATCAGTAAATCGGAAAACCAAAAAACTGGAACGAAATTCGATAAATTTTTCTGCCATTTAAAAAAAAAAAAAAAAAAAATTTTTTCCTCAAAAGATTTTAGGATTTTCCATTCTTTTTTGAAAGATGTTTATCTTACCATCATTTTGGAAATAAACATTAGTGTATTACTTCATTTTTTCAAGATTATTTCTAAATTTTTTTTTTTTTTTTTTAGTTGGGCTTAACAATAAAAAAAACTGCTTTTCGTAGCGATTCAGAAAACCGGAAAAATCAGTTATCCGGAATAGCGATGGTCCCGATCGTTCCGGATAATCGGTTCCCTACTGTATATGTACATTTAAAAAAAAATAATAAATACTTAAAAATTTTACTAAGCTATTATATCTGAATTCAAGTTTGAAGCAAACCTGATAACACTTTCAATAATTATAAGAAAACTTCTGATAGAAATCCTTATTTACAAACTCAAATAAGAAAATAGTCTACATTTCAACAGATTTGTCCTGTTGCAAATGAAGATAATGAACTGCAATATTAAAAAGTAAAATACATCTGGGACTGCGAATTGTTGGCCAAATGAGTCACGGCTCCATAATTTGACCACAAGACCCACAACGTGATAGCAGTAATGTGGTCAGCATTGTATGCTATCTAATGCATTCATATGTGTATTCTAATGTTAGGATAAATTTTTGATTAAAAAGAGGACAGAAATGTATTTATTGTGAAATAAGTAAAATAATGTGTTACAGTCAAGAAAAAGCAAATATTGCAAAAACTGACTAACAATTAAAATCCTAAAACAAATAACTGAAAGGATTAAGGTAACTGTATTTGAAGCTCTTTATAATCTTTCCCATTTTTTTAGTAACAAGGTTTTTTTTCCTCCTTAATAATGCATGTCATTAGAATATGATTAATAGCTTTCTACATAAAGATTGTAAATTTTAAAAAAAAAGTAGCAATCTAGATGATAATAACTTAGCTGTTTCATTTTGTTAAAATTTCATAAAAATGTACTTAATGTTGCAAAGGATCAAAATTTTTCCAACTGCATTGATAGAACTTATAAATAACATATTTATAAGAAATTAGCATACTTAAAAATGTATGGCAAAAGGAATAAAACAATGCAAACTAAGTAAAAATTATCCAAATCATTGATTGATTTTTTAAAAATTATTATTATTTTTTTTAAAAAAGAAATCATTGATGTAAGACAAAAATTAAAAAGCACTAAATATGACTTTTAAGTATTATAATTTTCCCTTAGCTGCATGCATAAGAATTTGCCAATTTAATAAACAAATTTCAATTATACCTAGTTATTTTATGTTTATTTAAACATAATAGCTTCTGGAGCTTATTATATATGCAGTAAATAAAGAAAGATATAATTTAAAATAATTGATTCATTATGTTCCCAGATCTAAATCAATTTATTCATCATTGAAGAGTAACTGACAAATTTTGTTTTCGTCTTTACAAATTCTCAAGAGTAAACAATGTTGAGTTACAAAAATAACTATGAATTTTTTTTTTCAAGATTAATCTGTAATAATTAAAACCAAAATAGTTTTAACCATTTTAGTTATACATTTTAATTATTTTAAGTTATAATACAATTTTAAATAATATTAAGCACTAATACAACATTTTAATTAATTTTGATACGTAAAGGTGAAAATCTAGTAATCTAAAATGTTAAAGTAAATCTAAAATGAAGTAATGAAATAAGTAAATCTAAAATGATAAAGGCTTAACAGCAGTGTTTTCACAAGAGAAAACATGTGAAGTAAGTACTGAAATAAGTACATGAAACAAACAATAACAAGCATTAATATTTATTAAAATACCTATTTGATCTTGGCAGGCATTATTGCTATTTAATGCTAACATAAGAGAGGACATATCTTGCATATTTTTCTTGGCAACTTCTGCAGTCCATACTCTACCCTCCGAAGCTGCAACTGGAAGAAAAATAGTAAAACTTATTGAAGAGCATTTGATCAATCTTAATTGCAAAATGTGGAGAAAATTTTGTGAAAGGCAAAAAAAAAATTCCTTTAACCACGTAACATAACTGAGTTTAAAGGTAAGATGCTAGTGTAGGCCACATGGTACCAGGTAAGTTGATTAAGCATTGTTATAATTAAATGAAATAGAAAGAGAGGAAGAACGATAATTAGTGCGCAAAATGAGCAGACTTAGGTAAAATGTAAAACTTTCTGCGAACATAGAGAAGTCTCACCTATACATCTCTATGTAAGCAATTAATTGACTCTTGTAAATATATATAGTTCTTTTGTAGCGGTTTAATTTTGACAAAATCGTTCTTCTTTTTTTAAATTTTTTAAAGTGTTTAAAATTCTCCGCCTGATTGCAGGGTAGAATGGGAGAATTTCAACCATTAAATATATATATATATATACACAAGTATTGCTACTCAAATAGAAGAACAAAATTCCCTTTTGCAGTTAGATTTTTAAAAAATTCCAGTCTAATATAATATTTACTGACAATGCTGTGGTCAAAACATACAGTGAACCACAAAAAATGTTTGCAATTTGTACATTATATTGCATATTTAATTAAAGAATATTATTTATTTGAAATATCTAGAAAAAGGAATAACGTCTTGACAAAACTAAATTCCAGTAATGTATCAATAAAAATTAATGCAGAAATTTTATGACTTCACAAAACAAAAGTGTTTTGAAAATTTTTAATAGGAATTAAAACCAATCGAAAGTAAAATGATCACAAACAACATGATATACAACAAGTAAGCTACATTGTCTTCAAATCCTGTTGAGAGGGAATATATGAAGAGTGAATTAGGCAAGAACAAAAATGTTAAAAAAAGGCAAAATTTATTTTACTCCTTATAATAAAAATAAATTAGAGATATAAACATAATTGAGAGTGAAAACAAAATGGCAAAAACATACAAATTATGTAATCAACTTCCACTACTCTGAAGCAAACCTCAGAAAAGAGTCATTTGATTAGAAAAGCTCTCCTTGATCACTAATTCCTTTTTTGTCGTAGGAGCTAATGTGTGACAGTATCCATTGGAGGTAGAGTGTTTGGAAGGCTATTTAATAGTATTAAAGATTGAAGTGCATGTTTTGTCACCATCCTCAGTGAAATTACTTAGTTGTTGGATTGCACTACAACTATCTGATAAAATACTAATATCTACTAACGGCCCTGTTAAGAGCCCTGTCTATGGCGATCAGCTCAGATCTAAATTCTAAAATGTAGCTGATGTCGTGAATGCATAAACTTGAGAAGGAGTTTACATACCTCAAATGCATAGCTGCCAACACGGATAGGAAAAAATCCAGTAGATTTTACGAAATATAAATTTTATGATAATTGTTGCAAAACATACTAAATATTTTACGCATGGAGAATTTCAGGGATTTTTATAGTCATGAAAATAGAAAAACTGCAATACTTTCCAGTTATGATTTTACATTAAATGAACTTGAAATGCTATGTATTATGTTTACTCTCAATTTTGAATAGTAATAGGCATTTAATTCGTCAAAAATAATTAACTGATTTTTATAAATGTGGCTTATTTCCTTAAGTATTAATAACATCTGTTTAAATTTTAGAGCAAGCAATAATCAAGCCCAAAAATTATAATGCTTGCTCAATTTTAGGGAATTTTCTAAAATGCACATATACCAGAAGAACTTTTATTAAACCAGTAGACTAGGAAAATCTGGCAAAATCCAGTAGTCCACTGGAAAAGCCAATATGCAAATGCAAACACTGAAGGAATGGTGTTGTGACAGACATAGAAAGAAACATACAACTAAATAAATGGATATGTGCCAGGTGACTAAGAGCACACACATTGTAGAAAAAACTTGGTGAATGGATGTATCTTTCCATGTGCGATCTGTCTTAGTACGATGTATACTTGAAAGTAAACAATGCTTACTGGATGCTATGAAACTGGATAAATATTTTAAGCTAACCTCGTATAAGGTTACAGCATGGAGCAAAAAAAAATATATAGCAAAATTTAAATGGTTACTAACTAATAAACAAAACGTACAAAATTTAAAAAATTAATTTACCTTGTTGCATTACTTCAGCTACTAGACTCGAAGAAAGAGCGTCTTTAGCATCTTTTTCTTGGAGAGAACCATCACATGCTGTTTGTTTAACTGAAGCAGCTCCTGAGCTTCCAGAACTTTCTCGATGGTGAACATCCACTTCTAAATCTAAAAATTTAAATAATTCAGTACAAAGACAACCTAAAGTGNTTATGTGACATTGAAACTTGTAGAATATATATATATATATACAGATGGATGACAAAATAATACGAACACCTGTGAAAAAGTGCGATTTATTTCACACTTGCAGTACAGCCGCGCCACCTGCAACAGACGTCTGCCACCTAGTGAGCGTGAAGAGGAAGCTATCAGTCTCTCAACATTAGTCCCCTGTGTTGCATGAGTTTATCTAACTAGCTTTTATAAAGTGAAATGTCTGACCTGTCAGAATTTCAAAGAGGGATAATTGTTGGGGCGCGTTTAAGTGGAGCATCGGTGACAGAAACAGCAAACCTTTTGGGGTTTGCAAGAAGTACTGTATCAGCCGTTATGACAGCATACATGAAAGAAGGTAAGACGAAGTCTTCAAAGCAAAACAGGGGCCGAAAGTCAAAGCTTGATGATAGGGATAGACGTGTCTTGCAGCGCGTAGTAGCTCGAAAACACAAGCGATCGCTATCCGAGATAACATCAGACTTGAACAGTCATCTTCAGGACCCCGTTTCAACAAGAACTGTTCAAAGAGAACTTCATGAAGCGAACATTTATGGGAGAGTGGCAATTCGTAAACCCTTGGTGACAGAAACCAATGCTTTCAAGTGCCGTCAGTGGTGTAGAGGTCACAAAGGCTGGTCCCCACAGCAGTGGCAGCAGGTAATATGGTTCGATGAATCATCCTTCACCTTATTTCAGACCACCGGACGCGTTTATTTCTGGAGATCACCCAAAGAAGCGTTTGATCCTGAATGCCTCTTACCAACTGTGAAAAATGGAGGTGGCTCTATTATGGTTTGGGGTGCGATATCTTGGCGTGGTCTTGGGCCACTTGTACGTCTGCATAGGAGAATCAAATCTAATGACTATCTAAGCGTTCTAGCGGATCAAGTTCATCCTTTTGTACAGACTGTATTCCCTGGAGAGCGACCGATTTTTCAAGACGACAATGCCCTATCCACACCGCTAGGTGCGTTCAGACATGGTTCGAAGAGCATGACAATGAAGCTGAGCATCTCGCCTGACCCCCTCAGTCTCCGTACTTAAATATTATTGAACATTTGTGGCAATATTTGGAGTCTAAACTTCGTTCCCGATTCCCACCTCCATCAAATCTTTTGGAATTAGAGACCGCTTTGCAAGAGGAATGGCTTAATATTCCTTTAAACGTTGTCCACGAACTTCATGCATCGATCCCACGTCGTATTAAATCTGTAATTCAGTCAAAGGGTGGTCCAACTCCCTATTAATAAAGATTTTCTGATATTTCACATGTGTTCGTATTATTTTGTCACCCATCTGTATATATATATATATATATATAAAACCTAGTTACAGTAATTTAAAAATATAATCTCCATGGAAATATAACTATAGTAACTAGAAAGTGCACAAAGAACACAAAAGGTAATCAAACAAATTTTCTCTTCAGTTTTAAATATCTATCTTCAAAACTCAAATAAACCTTTTGAAGATATTTTTGAAATGATTTTATTTTACTTAAAACAATGTTTTAACAATATGATTACAAAACTTGAATTGCTAAAAGGGGAAAAAAATCAAATTTTTATAATTCATAGAAACGACAGGTGTGATTTTTTCAATCAAACTATCAAAGCTTAATTTCATTTTCAGAAAAAAACTTAGAGATAGAAAATGTTTCTTTATTTCTTGATAATAGTAAGAAGACTACTAAACACTATGTTTTGCTGTAAGCAAACTGTAAGATTTAGAAACTTGAAAAACAGGTGAGCAGAAAAATGTACAAGTATATAATAAATAAAAAAAATTAATATTCAATTATTATTATTTTATAATTTGATAAACTGAGTGTAAAAAATACCATGCAGGCCCATCTATACACGCCACAGAAATGCATCTACATTGTTGAAATTCAATGCACTAGAATAGCCATTTTTATAAACTAATAACAGTTTTTTTTTTTAAAAAAAATTATGATTTATTTCAAATTCAACTGCTTTTTTGCAAATTTATATTAATTTTTCTTGGTCTTATGATACATTGTTTTGCTGATCAGAAAAATTGTTTATAGTTCGTCTATAGAAAGAGCTCCCCTCGGCACGAAGTCTAGGGCTGTCTGCTGCTATGAAAACAAGAAGTAGCACATTTCAAAAAGGGGAGATTCTTTCTCCCCTGATTCCCTTTCTCTCGCCGATACGAGCTAAAACTTGTCTTAAATAATGACCCAACACCCTTACTTTAAATAGTTAAAAAACGTAACCATAGTCACCGCCACTATTCCAGACAAATGGCATGGGGAATTCTTTACATAGACTATATTTAATTCATTTATTTTGAAAAAAAATTGATTTTTAAGAAAAAGAACTGTTGATAAATGAAAAGCAACCACTGATGGTGAGTGGAATGAACAGGGGGTAGAGCCCCCATGCTGAAAAAAAAATATGCACAAAGCGGCAATTTAATTTAAAGTCAATTTACTTCTTGATTAAATTAAAAACCATTTAAAATAACAAATCATACAATTTGCTAAAAACAATTAAAATACCTATAGTGCTTCCACAAGGTTTAGGATCAAATTGTGAAATTATGAGCCTGTTCAGCAATTCCATAGAGTCCACGTGAGAGGACATGTTGCTTTTATTCGGACCTTCCGTGAAAGAGTTGCGAGAGCTGCATTGCACAGGAGGAGTTTCACCTTCTCGGCGAGAGTTTAAAACAGTCATTTCTATATGCTCTGTTTCTCTGAAATTAAACAAATTTTAATAATCTCAGATGCACAGTCATTGTATTGATAAATTTTTATTTCTAATAATTAAATGTAGAAGGTAACTTATAAACTAAAAACCACTCTTTAAAAAAATGAAAAATTCACAATGAAATATAGTAGACCAATGTAGGTTTAGCTGCATCAACACGCCTGTTTGATAGTTAGCAGTTTGATTGACATTGCCATTTCCATATTCAGATTTTTTTGAGTGGAGTTACAAAGTTGCTTTGTCACTATATTTTCTTGGATAGAGAAACTCTCTTTTTAACTTGTCTTTTTTTTCGTCAGTCAAAACATGCCTTTGTAATATGCTACAATATGCACTTCTACAACAGCCAGTCAGAAGCTTCGAAAAAGTTTCCTAAAAAGTGTTGTTTTAGTTAATTTTAAAAGTTGTCCAATTATACCGGATCAGCCTCTGTTCTGAATATTTTCGATAATCAGTACTTGACAGAGTTGATTATATAATAAATAATTTTGTTCTAATGATACATAAAATTTCAGCACCGGATAGCACAAGCACCCCTTTGCAACATAATTCAACTTTGAAATAAAAATTTGCACTTACAGCTCATAATGGTTTTTATTAACTACAGCAAGTATTTATTTCTATCAATCGAATCAAGAATGTGGGAGAAAAAATTTCTGTTTCACCAAGACAATGCCACTTGTCACAAGCTGATGAAAGCAATGGTTAAATTTAATGAATTACACTTTGAATTACTTCCCCACCAACCATACTCTCCAGACTTGGATCCTAGCACTCCAGGAAAAGAAATATGGCTCCAATAAAAAAGTTATTACTGAAACTGAGGCTTACTTTGTGAGCATAGCTAAACCGGAAATTTATTGAGTGATGTGTTAAAAGTCATGATTAATGCATATACTAACGCAGTTCACAAATGTACAGTTAAAAATATCACAAATGTCAAGTACAGTTAAAAATATCTTCAAGAATTTTTCACACTGACTAACTTAATCTGAAAGTAACCTATGCAATCAAGTAAGGTTTACTTCCCTCCACAGATAGATACTTACTTTTTTTGGACATTTTCTGGTAAAATGACTGTATCTCTTTCAATATCATCAGACTTTGCAGATTCGTCACTGGACTCCTCACAGTAGTCCCCAATGTCATACATTTTGTGTAGCTGCACATTCACAACTTTTAAAACAGTAAAAACCACCGCAACAATTGAACAATAAATTATCCATAAAAGTAAAGAGGGAGTACAACACTAGGAGAGAAAATAAAATGCTTTTTTTATTTCAAAAATTAAAATATCGACACTACTTAAACAATATAGAGTTAAAAATATATATAAAAAACTAACATCCATTAAAAATAAATGCTTTATACAAAATATTAATTCTCAAAAAAACATAATACACAGCTCTTACAGATTCCATGATTTAGGTACACTTGCTTTTACTGTAACTGCGGATGAATTAAAAAAAAAATTTAACAAAAAAAATAAATAAAAAAAAGATTAAGAAAGAATAATAAAAATAAATTATACATTGAAAGCAAACTTAAGGATGAAGGAATTAAAAATTCTAAAATGTATAATGGACTGAAATTTCTAAAATATAAAAAGGTTGTTACACAGGTTTTGAATTAAATAAAAAACTAAATTTCCAATTTAATACTTAAAATATAGAAAACAAGTTTTCTACAAAAAAATTAATAAAATATATAGTATGCATTTTTGTTTAAGAAATTTATTTAAGCAATAATTATTATCAATTATTATAAACTTATGATTATTTAAGAAATAAAATTATAAGAAATAATTTCACTTTATTGAAATTTCAAAAAAAAGAAAATAATTAAAGATAAAAAAAAAAAAAAAAAAAAAAAAAAAAAAAAAAAAAATTATAATTAAAAAAAATTCTTGGTAGTTGCTTAAATGATCAATCAATTTTAGAAAAATTTGTTCAGTTGTCAGATATTTAAACTCATAATTATTAAAAACACAGTTTTTAAAGTAAAAACAAACAGCCCATTTCCATTCTATTAACATACCTAAAGGTAAAGAGGATCTATTTGATATCCTTAAACAAAAATTATTAACATTATTAAGAAGTATTTTAGAATTTTATTAATAGATGTATGGTAAAAGGGTCTAAATATTATGAATCTTAGCATTAACTTTCTAAGTTTCATTTTATTATTTAAAGTACTTAAACTGCCAGTAATAATATTTATCAACAAATTCAAAATATTTCCCTTCTTCACAGTGACATTCATAATAGCATACATTAATTTCCCTAAATTTCTACCAATATTATAATTAAAAATAGTGTTGATAAGAGATTTATTATTTTTAAAGCTTTTAATCATGTTAAAATCTTTCAATGAAAACAAATATTTTAATTTTTCAAAAATATAATAAAATTTAAAGAGTTCTGAAAGTTAATAACGAAATATAAATTATCTAAACAAATTATCTTATCATAATTTCCAAAGGCTTTATCTATAGGACAAATAATAAAGTGTTTCCTAGTGAATTTTAAATGATTGATAAGAAGCATAATGATTGATAAGCTTAAATTAACGGAATTTAATAAAATGAAAATTATCAAGAAGAAATTTTCGAAATTCGAAAAATAGGGCCCATTTCCAACCAACAAAGAATTGTCCAGGTAGAGACTGAATTCTAAATGTTATAAAAATAAAAGAACCAACATCTTCTAAAAAAATTGAAAGTAATGCTTTAATGCTGATCTTAAAAAGAGGTTTAAATTTAGCTCCCTTTGAGAGTATAAATTGAACAATCTTATTATTAACATCATCAGTTATTATCAATAAAATTTAAATAGAAATCAGAGTTAACACGTATACTCAATAATGTTGCGTTGTATTTCATTAATTATAGTCAAAATTCACTATAATGAAAGATTTTACAATCATATTTACTTTTGTACATGAAAATTCTTCTTTAACTATTGTAAGTTCTTTTTTAAATAAAATCAAATTATATAAAAATTACTTAAATTATGAAGTGTATTTGAAAAGTTAAATCTATCAAAAGTTTGATTCTAAAATCTAATGGGAAAATAAATAGTGGAGTCATTGCAATAATCGAAATCTATTTTTGATAATCTAAGTTTTAAAAAAAAGTCATTTACTAAGATTGCAAAGTATTTATTACTGAAACCAAAACATTTTAACAATATTTCAAACTTCAATCAAAGTTTATAACTTTATGTTCATTTTTTGTAGGGTGAAACATTATAGGAGGAAGTGAAAGAATACTGAAGTTTAATAATTTCTAAATCATTGTATTATTTAAAGTATTAATAAAATAACTTTATTTTTTTACCCTTGCCACTGTGACATTATGGGTCCCCCCCTAAAAAGATTTCAAGACTGAACTTATTTTTGAACAAACTACCAGGTGTTATTTAGCAGAATTTTTCAGAAATTAATACTTCATTTTCCAGTATGAGTATGGTTCACATATTGTATCAATGGCTTAAATTATTCTTCTTTTAAAAAAAAGTATTGTTCATAATTTTATCAGTTAATTTTTACAGCAAAAAAAAAAAAAAAAAACTTTGTATATCTTCTTATTTTAATTGCTGAACACCACCAACTTTTTTCTTGACGCCATTTATATCTTTACTTAATGTTCACCTCAGCATCATTAATGTTTTGTGCCATAAAATAAATGTGCCATCAATAATATTTTGTGCCATAAAATTCATTTTTTAAAACTTAGGTTAATTTCACCTGGCACCTCAAAATGTCGGGGGGAAAAAATCACAAACTGAAGATTCAATGATACAAATTTTGTTTACACAAGCCGATATTGAAGTTTGGTTGATCCCATTCTTTTGTCGTGGTGTGACATTATTTGCAATAAGTATGAAAAATGACAATATTTTCATAAAAAGATTAAATTTTTCTATTTATTATAACATACATTATTGCATTTTTTTTAAAGGGAACAACATTTGTTTATTTATTTGGAACTTAATTTAAAAAAATTAGAAACAAATATTAATTAAAATAACACAGGATTAAATAAAATGATACAGGATGGAATTCAGCTCATTGATCTTTTGTCAAGAGAAGACATTTAAATTAAATGGTATTTAATAGTTTTAAATTTTAATCTATAGTGATTTTCAATGCCAAGTATGTCTTTGTTGTTAGGTATTTACATCTAAATTTAAATAGTAGTGTAAGAAAAGTTGTGCGTTTTTAAAAGTGAAAATTAGGCATTAAAACTAGAGTTATGGTTGCAATTATTGCCATTAGATCTATCTAGATTAATCTACATAATTTATTACAAAATTATTCATATAATATTTCATATAATAGAATTTATGGGAAATAGAATGAAATAGTATTAGTTTTTGACAAGTTAAATTAGACAAATTATTGACAGTGATTTGTTATAGATCAAAATTAGCACAAGTTTTACACATGGCTGCAAACACAAAAAGACACCATAATGCTGATTTTTTTTCTTTCTCTGATTATATTCAGGAAAGTCAATTTCCTCGTTTTTTTAAACACTTTATGTTTAAAAAATTTAGAGCTTTTTTATTTCATTTTTGCTTGTTTTTTGAATTTTGCTTCAAGAACTTTTTTTGTTTCATTTTTGCTTGCTTTTCTGTTTTAACTAAAGTGAAACATATTAACGAAGTATTTCTGATAGACTTAACTCTTTTATTGTCTCTTTTTTCTTGTAACTGTAATACAAATAACTAGTAACATAGAAAACTGAGATAATTAACATTAAAGTTATATTTTAGAACTAAGAATTTTTTTTTCCTTTTCTGTTTCTTTTTGGATTTTTTTATGAACTTTTCTTTTTAACAGCATTTTCATTATGACAGTATTTTTTAAAGATTGTATAATAAACATTATTCTTTTTTCTAAGAATTTGGCAACATAAAAAATTTAAATTGAGATTTTATCGTTAAATCTTCAGTTTAAAAATTAAGAACGGTTTTTGTTTCAATCTAGCCTTTTCTTTTACAAAAAACTTTTCAAAAAATATTTTTAAAGACGTAGCAATTAAGAAGGTTTCTATCAGACTTTAGTTAGTCTTGCACTTTCTCCTTGAAAATATATTGGGAGCACAAATTAGTTTGGTCTGTTTTCAAAAGGTGGCTCTGGCTGTTATGAATGTTTCATAGTGACAGCTGGTTTCGGTGGTTTCAGAGAGGTTAGACAACAATATTCAGTTTATACCGCTTTGAGTTTCATACAAAAACCCTGTTTCTTACTTTGTCGAATATGTCAAATTTTGTTGTAACTAAGCAACATTTGCGAGAGGTTATATGTTTCTGCTTTAATTGAAAGCAAAGTGCAGCTGAAGAGCATCGAATGCTTGTAGAAGTTTATGGTGACAATGCTCCAACTGATAAATCATGTAGGGCAGGGGTAGGCAACGCGGCGCCCGCGGGCGCCCTCGATCGATTTTTAATCCGCCCTCGCTGGACTAATGTAAATGTTTAATAGCCAGAGCGATTTACTTAACTCTTGTCAAACGGCGATATACAGCAAGTAGTCAGCTGAGTTTAGGATTGTGCATGATTATCTGCAAAATATGCGCCCTCGGTGATTTTCAAATTTAGTATTGCGCCCTTAAGGACAAACAGGTTGCCGACCCCTGATGTAGGGAATGGTTTCGACATTTCAAGAATGGTGAATGAAGAATGGTGTTGTATACTATGAGCTGCTACAACCTGACGATTCCATTACGGGCGATCGATATAGGCTACAATTGATTCGTTTGAGACGTGCATTATGAGAAAAAAGGCCACAATATGAGCAAAGACATGACAAAGTTATTCTTCTCCATGATAACGATCAGCCTCACGACGCAAACATTATTTGGAAACGCTCAAGTGGGATATTTTACCGCACCATGTATTCGCCAGACATTGCTCTTTCTGATTACTGGTTGTTCCGACGGATGCAGCATGATTTGGCAGGTCACCGGTTTCACTTCTAACGTTGGTTTCACAAAAGGGCCAGAATATGAGTAAAGACATGACAAAGTTATTCTTCTCCATGATAATGGTCGGCCTCACGTCGCCAAAAATTATTTGGAAACGCTCAAGTGGGATATTTTACTGCACCATGTATTTGCCAGACATCGCTCTTTCTGATTACTGGTTCTTCCGACGGATGCAGCATGATTTGGCAGGTCACCGGTTTCACTTCTTTGGTTTCACAAAAAGGCCAGAATACGAGCAAAGACATGACAAAGTTATT